TTGGTTTTTCGAGACAGGGTTTCTCTGTGGTTTTGGAGCCTGTCCTGGAACTAGCTCTGTAGACCAGGCTGGTCTCGAACTCACAGAGATCCTCCTGTCTCTGCCTCCCGAGTGCTGGGATTAAAGGCGTGTGCCACCACCGCCCGGCCCTAGCTACAGCACTTTTAATGCAGTGCACATTTTTGATCCCAGCACTTGGGAGCAAGAGCACGCAGATATATATGAGTTTTGGGCCAGTCTGTTTTGCATAATGAGATCCAAGCCAGCTAGTGATATACTGTGAACCGACTCAACCCTACTCTGACCCCTCTTCCAAAAATAAATTTCTGCTGAAGGAAAAGACCTATACTATAGATGATTAGCACATCAAAAGATGGAAGAATGAAATTCACTGCCAAGAGTTAAGTATACCCCAAGACCCAGCTATTGGACATATACCCAAAAGATGCTCCATCCTGCCATAGAGACATTTGCTCAACCATGTTCACTGCTGCTCTATTCAGAATAGCCAGAAATTGGAAACAACCTAAATGTCCCTCAACAGAGGAATCGATAAAGAAAATGTGGTATATTTACTCAGTCATTTAAAAAATGAAGTCATGAGTTTCACAGGTAAATAGATGGAACTCGAAAAAATCATTTTGAGTAAGTTATACCAGACGCATAAAGACAAATATGGTATGTAGTTGCTCATATGTGGATATTAGCTGTTAAGGCAATGATTAACAAAGTGGCCATCTGCAGAACCCCAGAGGGTAGGTATGGCATCAGGGAGTAAGAAGGACAGATAGATTTTGTTAGGAACGGGAAATGGAATAGACAGTGAAGGATGGGTGGGGTGGGACTGAAGTGGGAGGAGCAAGTGGGAAGGGGAACATGAGGAGAGACAGCTAAAATTAAGGGGCATTTAAAAGATAGTTAGTGAAATTATTAAATAACGGGACAGTGTCCCAACTGGCAAATGAAGCTTCCAGTACCAGGATTGGGTTACATCTAATTGAGTTTTGGCCAAAGAAATCCCATGGAAACCAAACAACCCGGGCTGTTGCCAAGACTATATGTAGTTCTCCACAAACTGAGAGTGGGGCCTCACTGCTGAAGTGTTGACCCATACAGTTTACTGAGAATGGACAAGTCAAGCTGCTGAGCATGGACAAGTCAAGCTGGTGCCTGCACCGAGCCTTCACTCCTACTTCTACCACCTTTCCTACAGGAACGGATTCTGTGTGCAACCAAAGGAGAAACACAAAGACCAAGCTAGCTACAAATCCTTTGATCTACAATGGTGTCCTGCCTGCAAGATATGCTAGGGCAATGGTGGCACAAAGCTTGTGGGAGTGACCAGCCAGTGTCTGAAGGCTCGCTCCATGAGATAGAACCCATATCCAAGACTACTTAGGTCATAAATTGATGCTATGAATCAGTCTGTGGGGACACTGTCATCTTAACCATTTTAATATCCCCATTCTATGAACAGGAGGTACCTTCCCATTTATTTGGGTCTTGTTCTGCTTCCTGTCCCTTCCTTTTATCCCCTTTTTTCCTTCTCCTTATGGTGATAATTTATTTACATTTTAATAAATAAAGTTTGCCTGAATATCAGAAAGGCAAAGCTTTTTTTTGGTTAGCTTTCAGTTTCACTTTTTGCCTTAGGTCTTTCAGAACCCCTGGCCTAGCTCCCCTGACACCCTATATCCTAAGGCTGGGGTGAGCCCCATAGTCCTCATACCTCCAGCTGGGGTTCCACACATTTCTGGGGGAGGGAGGGAGGTATTGAGGCCTCAGTTATGCTGGGACCAATGTAATGAGTTTACCTTTCCGCTAGTCCACCCTCCTGACCCTGGGTGTGTTCCTGCCACTAGAGGTCAGGCAGTGGTAGTGGACACCTTAATCCCTGGATTTGGGAGATGGAGGCAGAAGGATCTCTGTGAGTTCAGGTCCACCCTGGGCTACACAAGATCAATGCAGAAACACATCCAGGTGGTGGTGGCTCACACCTTTAATCCCAGTACTAGAGGGAATATAAAATGGGTGGAAAGAGAGGTTCTGCCTGCTTAGTCTGTTTAGTGTGCGGTCACCCAGCCTTGGTAGAGGTAAGACTTTTCTAGTGGCTTGGCTGCTTTGATTTTCAGGTTGAACCCCCAATATCTGTTTCTGGGTTTTTATTATTCGTGCAATATCTCCTTTCTGCTTCTTTTACCCTACCCTCATCTTGAGGTACAGCCCAGAATGGCTTTGAACAATTGAGCTTCTTGCTTCGCACTCCTTGATCTTGAATGCTGGGATCCTAGAAATGCACTATTTCACTAAGCTTGTTTACTTCTGTTCGAGAAACTTTGTACACTGTTGTAGGATAATACTCTTGTATACTGTAAAGAGTTGTCACTTGTATTAGTTTAATAAAATGCTGATAGGTCAGTAGCCAGGTGGGAAGTAAAGGCGGGATAACCAAACTGAGTGCTCAGCCTGTCTCCTCCCATCTTATATTCCCCCCCTAGTGCTGGGATTAAAGACGTGTGACTCCCTAGTACTGGGATTAAAGATGTGAGCCACCACCACCTGGATGTGTTTCTGCATTGATCTTGTTTAGCCCAGGGTGGACTTGAACTCACAGAGATCCATCTGCCTCTTTCTCCCGAGTCCTGGGATTAAAGGTGTGTGGTACCACTGCCTGGTCTCTAGGGGCTTAGCTTTACCTTCTGATCTTCAGGCAAGCTTTACTTATTAAAACGTAAATAAAATATCACTATAATAAACATTTTGCACTTTTTTAATCAAATTAAGAATTTTATTCTTTTTGTTGCTATTGAAAATGAACTCTTTTCTTAATTCCACTTTGGATTGTTCATTGTAAACATACAGAAATGTGGCAGGATTTTGTATAGTATAGCCTATATAGCCTTGCTAAACTATGTATCTCTTATCATTATTATGTAAGTTGTTCAAGATTTTCTATACAAAATCATATCACTTGTGATTAAAGATAAGTTTCATTTCTTGCTTTAAAAAAAAAGAGTAAATATACTGTCACATCCCAAACACTAATAGGAAGTAGGTAAACAAATTTTATCTGTAGTAGAAATTTAAAGGATGAAACTATTAAAAGCAAACAAGTCAATTGTAATGACGTTATACAAACTATAAGAAGTTATAAAGTGTGATACTAAAAACATAAAATGTAGGAAAACAGGAGTTTAAGTATAGTGTGTAAATATTAATTAAAGTTGCTACCAACTTCAAAAGGCCAGCTATAAATACGTTTTATGTAAATCTTAGGAATGCATATCACTACAGGAAGACTTTAAACAAGGAAGGAAACAAGGGAGAAACAGTTGTGCAAACAGAAGACAATTAGCAAAATAGCATGAATTGCTCCTTACAGATCAATAATTAACTGTGGCTGACTCAGCAGGTGAAGGCACCTGCACCAAGCAAGCCTGACACCTGCCTCAGTCCTGAGAAGCACACGCTGGAGGAGAGAACTGCCTCCCGCAAGCTGTTCCTGGCCTCTCAGTGAGAGCTGTGGCAGGCATGGGTTACACAGACACGAGAGTAAAGCGTTCGCTGCTCATTTCATCTTAGAGAACTCTCCAGAGAATGAGCAAATGGATGAAGAAGATATTCTCTGAAAATAAAAATGAAAGGAGGGCAGAGGTGGCTACACCTATTTATAAATAGTAAAAGAAAAGATGACGAGGAAAGCTTTAACTCAAACACTGTAAAATAAAGTAATAAAAATTTAAAAGACAAAGAAGGTCTTCAACAACAACAAAGAGGGCAGTTTTCCAAGAAGATAAAGCAGAAACACTAAGGCTCTCAATATCCACAAACAATCCAAACATCAAATCAATAAAGAAACAGACCTGAATTACACTCCGGTCCAAGTGGAGCTAATAGACCCGAACATTCTCCACAACAGCAACAGAATAGATATTCGTAAGTATGAATGAAAAAGCTTACATAATGGACCATATATTAAGCTCCAAATCATAACTGAACAGAGTTAAGATAAAATCATATCAAATATCTTTTTTATCTGTAAACTTTTTCTATTTCAAATTTTATTTGAATTTTGTGGATTTTGATGGTCACAATAATCACAGTTGGTTTTGCTAAACCTTTAAAGAGCTAACGTCAATGCTTCTCAAACTCTTCCAAAAAATTTTGAAAAGTAAGAAATAATTCCAAACTCCACTTTACAAGACTATCCAAACAGAATAAGGACCCCGATTTAATAAAAAAGTTTATAAATAATTGAGCCATCAGTTGAATTTATTGAACAGAGTAGGTCATTCTCTTGGATTCACTTACATTATAATCAGCTTCAGGAAGTTTAATACCAGGAAATAAGTCACTGGTTATTCCATTAAATAAAGGGATGTCATGTGATAGAAACTTTGGTTCATTTACATCTTTAATTGATCGAAGAAGCTAAAAATCACAAAAAGGACAATGTAATTTAATTGCCTGCACTTATATATGCTCATGGCACACACACACACACACACACACCCTTAGCCAAAGTCAGTTTATTTTACATTGCTCATAGAATCCCTATAATGAAAAACTAACACTATCGGTATCAAACTGAAAGGCCTCTGTGTTGATATAAAGTACAATAAGTAATCAAAAATTACAATTTCAATCTTACTTAAAATACTTGGAGCAACAACTCTCTCTGTTGCCTTGTTCAGTCCCTGGTTGGTTTCGCTAGAGAAGTTATTTTTCACAGTGCACGTATTTAATTAATACTTACCAATATGTCCTCATTCTCATCGGGATATTTTAGCTTGAGATTCCCAGCTGCCACTAGCACTGCTTTCACTGCTCGCATGCCGTAGTCGTAGTGAAACTGGGAGGACAGCTGCTCTGAGCACAGCCTGTAGGTCATCACTATCTTCACAGATAGGGGCTTTGCATTCAGAAATCCATAGGAGTAGAGGGAGATCTCTGCTATGAGGGCGTAGTTTGGAACCATCATCGCGACTGTTCTAAAAAGAACCTGAGGCATATAATAAATGAAATACATTACTTATGCAAAAGAATCCATTTTTGGAGCTAAGCAGGAACAGGATCAAAAGATGCTGATATCCAAGTTTATTCCTAAAATGCAACATCTATTTATAATTTTTTTCAGCAGCAGTTAAATGTTTTATGTCCTTGGTAGTTTTGGATTTCGAAAAATGATTTAGAAGGTGGGAATGGTGGCCTGTAGGCATAATCCTGGCTACTCAAGAGATAGAAGTGGGAGGATTGCAAGTTCAAGGCCAGACTAGGCAATTTAGTGGGCCTGTCTCAAAATAAAAATAAAAGCAGCCTTGGGATGCAGTTCAGTGTTAGGACGCCTGAGCCCAAGCCCCCGCACTACCAAACAAATGAGAGTTTGAGGTTTCCCTTATAGCAAAGGGAAAAGGGAAAAAGAAATGACAAAACATATGGAGGAATTTATGACAGTTTGAATGGATTATGCTGCCATTTTTTATTGACAAACTAATACTCCCAACAAATTACCTTGAGGTTGTCTGGCAATTCGGAACGTCCGGCATAACCAGGGTTCATAGTAATAGCTACAAAACAGTTCGGATTGAGCTTAAGTTCTGTCCCTTCAAAAATGAACACATCCAGTTTCTGTTGAATGGCTCTCTGGATGCAAAGAATTTGCTGTGCCACCACTGATAACACTTCCAGTTCAATTCGATTAAACTCATCAAAGCAAGCCCATGCACCTGAAGAAGCCAGACCTTTAAAAAACTAAGGATAGCCAAGAAAAACGGTGAATATTCTTAGGAAAGGACATGATTTGTAAACAAAACAAACAAAAGCATCTGACCTTCTACGTCCCAATTAAACGTTAAGCTAAAAAATGCTCCACGGATATTGTCAATGTCATTACCACGATAATCCAAGGTCAAGTAACATCGAACTACAAGCCGGTATTACTAGCACGTGCATCTCCTCAGTACACCCAGGCAGACCCCGCTGTAACATCTGACGTCACTACCTTTCCCATTGCTAGGTAGTCTAGCCCATCAGAGCAGTTGAACACCACACACTGCACAGCCAGCGCCTTCGCCAGGTCTTTGGTGGTTTCAGTTTTTCCTGTGCCTGCTGGCCCTTCTGGAGCACCTCCGAGGTTTAAATAGAAGGCACCGATCTGGAAAAAATTATGTGTGAAAAGAAATCTATGATTAGCTAGGGAAAAAAACAAACTAGCTAGTTGCTAGTCAAATGAAGTTATTTGTATTCATAGCTTCAGGGAAGCCAGTATTATTATATTGTCCAGGTTACTGTTCAGTTCAGAACTTTATGGCTGTAAAAACCATTGTCTAATACTTTAAATATACATAGTTCCTCTTCAAGAACAGAGAATCTAGCACTGAAGGAGGAAAATTAACTCAGGATGGTTTTCTTCGAAAGTAGATGCGGAGATATTGGTAGAAGATAATTAGGATACCTTCTAGATGGCGAGCTGCCAAAAAGGGTAAACATTGAAATAAGTGGTACAAATGGGGCCCAAGTCTGGAAGACAAACATGTGTCATCTCTGATTTCTCAAGATTTTGCCTTGGTGTGTTCTTCATTTTCTGCATCTCCAAAGAACTGCTCTATATTTCTTTTACCAATATTATTGTTTTTTTACTTTGTATTACGGTTAATACACATTCCTCTTTTAAATTAATCAGAGTTTAAATTCATCAGGATATGAATTATTTCCCTAATAAATTGTATGCACAAGAATCCTCATTTTATTTAGAACTAGTGAATTCAGCTTTACACTCTAACCTACTCAGCATTAAATGAGCTGCTGTTCTTTCATGTTTCTTCTCAGTTCCCAGGTTGGCAGATGTAGCAAATAAAAATACACAATCCCTAGGAAAACTTCAATTTCAGATGAACAATGGATTACTTGTTAGCACTGTCCTTGCTCCCCTTGCACTATTTAGAGAAAACAACACACACACACACACACACACACACACAGCAAACACCACGTAATGATTCTGCTAACAAGAGATGGTATGCCAATATCATATAGCCTCACCCTGCTGGCCTTTTGGGAAACATTTCATTTCACAAATGCATATTTTGTGGCACTTACATGGGACACAATTGCCTAAGGATATTATATAGAATGTTTTTCTATCCTTAAGTGACCCATGAATAATTTTTTTTCACTTGAAATGTAGGTTTATCCAGGATAATTCTATCCATTATTACCCTTATCAGGGGTTTTAATAGTTGTACCTCTGTCTTCATAGCTTCTCAGCCGAGCGCAGCCTTGTGCAGTGTCCCCTACTTTTGGCTCTGTAGTTCATACTCTGTAGCAGTAATTGGGAGTCCTGGAGTGTAGCTGTACCCTGGCCTCCCTGTCAGCTCTCTGGTCCTCCAGAGAGTACTGTAAGAGGTGATCTATTTTCTGAAGCTCTGGTTTTGCCTTTTATCTTCAGGACCTTTCTCTTTCTAATCAGTCGCCAGGGAAGTAACTCACAGCTTGTATACTACAGATTTCAAATACTTTTGTATGCTAAATGGGGCGGGGGGGGGGGCTGAGAAGTAAATACTCAGTATTACAATTCCACATAAAGAGAATTTGGAGGTGCAACAATACCTCCAAATTAAGCAGTAAATGTGTTTGCCACACAAGCCTGGGAACTTGAGTTCAGTCCCTGAACCAGGGGGGAAGCAGGAACAGACTCACTCCTAAAAGTCGTCCTCGGTGGCATAAGCACACGCTGGGGCACACGCCAGCATTCTTGTTCACATGCACACATTTTATTATATATATATATATATATATATATATGAGCATAATAATAGCATATATACGCACATATATGATATAATTTTTAAAAGAGAAGTTCGGGTTAGGAAAGGAAAAGTGCATTAGGTTATTATAAATAACAGATGAGGAGCCAGGGAGATGGCAGCAGGTAAAGCTGACACCACACCTGACGACCTGAGTTTAATCCTCTAGTATCATAAGATAGGAGAGAACAGACCCCTGAAAGTTGTTCTCTGACCTCTATACATGTACTGTTGCATGTGCACAATCCTCTCTCACACACATATAATCGTAAAAAAATGTTTTAAAATAAATGAAGATAGTCAATATTTGGACAAGAAAATAAATTCTGCATCAAAAGTATTCTGTAATGTGTGAACAAAATAACTGCATACCAATGTCCTGTAACACCTGTCAGTCAGAGGGGTTATGACAAGCCGAGGGGAGTTACCGAGGTACTCATAAGCATATTTTACATTGCAATTAATGATGCGAACTCGGGCATTGTCATATTCCCAGTAATAGCGAAGCTGAGCAAGCCACTGGAAATCTGTATCATGTGAGACACCTACAAGGAATGAAGTAAAATCATAAGTGAAAATAATTAGAAAAGTAATCTATTATAACAGCGAATAGTAATTCATGCTTTCAAATTAAAGACCATTCCAAAAAATCCTATTAAAAAAACTCACAAGTCTTTGTTTCTTAGAAGCTATCAATATTTTATAGTTTATATTAAAAAATTACCTACCCATTTCAATCATGTCCATAACGACATCCCTAGCATGGACATCAATTGTAACCAAAGCGCCCAGTGTGATTCTGGTCTGTTTGGACAGTTTTCCTCTTACTAGCTCTACGATATCATTTAGTTGATACTGAAGTTCCTTGTAGTACTTCTTTAATCCCTACAAAATAATAAAACGGTTTAATTGATGTTATATATAAATGTATTATATGATTCAAAATACTCAAACTATTCCAAAAATATGAGTTATAGAGTGAATTTATGTCATCCTAGTAAAAATAACAAGCTTTCTAAAATTTCTATAATTTTAATACCACATATAGAAATTGAGAATATTCTTTTCAATGAACAGACAAGCAAACAAAGAAATATAAAGAGGAAGAAAGCATGTTGTTGTTTAAAATCAAACAAATCTTTACCTCTGTCCCACTGCTTATAACCTCTTGTGTCTCCGAAGTCCAGAACATCTGAGAAACACAAAGCACAACTTGGCCAGGCCACTCTCTGACCCAGTCTTTTCTTGCAGATTCTGGATAAGCCTGAAGAATTAAAATGAATTTCTATCTTTAAAAGGTTATAAAAGGAAAGGGATCTGCAAACATCTAACAATTTTATGTTCTTTCACTGGACTAGATGTCAAGTTTTTGATGAACAATACACATTATTTCTATTATAAAAAATCATTAAACTATTTAAAAAGTCACACATGGGGAAGGGTATGAAATTTATAATTTATGAATGTATGCAAATATAATATGCACATGGATGTTAAGTTTTAATTGCAAAGAAAAGTGCTGGATAGTGTTAATTGATAGACTCTACAGTCACCTGGGAGACAGGCCTCTGGGCTTGACTACAGGGGTTATCTTGATTAGTTAATTGATTCAAGAAGACCCATCTTAACTGTGGATGGGACCATTCCCTGTACAGAAGTTTCTGGAGTAAAATGGAGAAAGAAAGCTAAGCACTAGCAAGCATTCATGGCTCTTCCTCCTGGCTGTGGCTGCAATTTGGCAAGCGGCTTCTGGTTCCTGCTATCCTGACTTCCCTGCCACAATGAACTGAACCTTGAGCCATGAGCTAAAATAAATCTTTCCTGCCTTCAGTTGCTTATATGAGGTTATTTTACCATAGCAACAGGAAAAGTGACTAAGACAGAAGCCATATATTGTATTTCAAAGCTGGGCTAGTGTAAAACCAAAACAGGACAAATACACCTGGCAGGTAAGGGTTCTGTTTGCAGTTAAGTCGATTAAGTTCCTGTTTCTTTGCTCATCTGCACCAGATGTGCTTGGTCACATGTGGGCCTGAGATATGTGGACATGAAATACATCAGTATATACATTTGCCCCTGGATAGGTAAAGGCTGGGAGGTACGCAGGCAAGAAGTACATCAAGATACATGGTTGCCTCTGCTAGAACCTGGTGGGAAGTATAGTGGCCTCATGGTGCAGTGATATTTTGTTTATGTTTTAACAAATAAAGCTTGCCTGAAGAGCAGAGTGCAGAGTTAAGCCACTAAAGGCCAGGCAGTGGTGGCACACACCTTTAATCCCAGTGGTGTGGGAAGTTCTTCTGTATATGTGTTGCTTTTATTATTAATTCCAAGTAGAATTCATGCTACACCATGGTTTTGCCCCTTTAAGACCCTGCAAAACATGACTTGTGGCCATTTCCTGGGAACTTCAAGACAGTTCTGCCAGAGTCCAACCTCCTAGCCAGTATTTAATTAAATCTTGCTTCAAATTTAGTTTAAAATTATAGCAGTGGTCTTTTTCTCACCTGGGGGTTTGACAATAGTAGCTAGAATGTCTATGTTACTAATCCATAACTTTTCTAAAACTTATATAAGTAGGATATGCAATTACATTTATTAATCATTTAAATTATTAGATTTATTAAATTATTTTAACAATCTGTACATTTGAATTTGAAATATACGTTCATCTACTACTAATACTTTCATGTTTCAAAAGTTCTAAAGATGTTTTGAAGGGAAGATTTAACAGTTTAAAAGGAGCTTCAGTAAAAATGGAAACAGCCAATAACAATTATAAATTGAAAAGACTTCATGGGGTGAATTGTGAAGTTGATGCTAATGAAGAGAATTTTTTTAAACTAACACATTAAATATAAGAATATAAATTTATTATTTATAAAATATTTCTTATTACAATACTTGCAGATAAACTCAAGTAACAAGCTCTAAGGAAAGCAATGAATGACAGACGTGGCAAGTACATTTTCTATGTCAGTGAGGGTAACACTTCATGGACAATGTTGGTGCTTTGGTATGTGTTTTTAGTTTGCTCAAAATCATTGAGAAAGGAGAAAAAAATCAGGATCTAATTGCAAAAACACTGAAGCTGCAGAAAAGCCATTTCAAGAAAGCAAGCTCCAGGTTGGAAAGACTGCATTACTCAGTGTACAAGAGCATGAGTCTTCCAGAGGACCAGAGTTCAGTTCCCCGTACCCACATATGGCAGTTCACAACTGCCAGGACCTCCTGAGTCAGAGAGAGGCAATGTCTCTTGTCTCCATAGGTACCTGCACTAATGTGCACACATTCTCATACAGACACACATAAATACAACATATAATTAAAATATAATATTTTTGAAAGATAAGCCATTTAAAGAGAAAAGTTATCTCCCTCATGAAGTGACCTGCTGGGTATGGGCTGCAAGGGCTTTTAAAACTACTGGCACCCTTGTGGTGCTAAAGACAGAACAAGGGAAGACATATATTTCAAGATTAGGATAATTGGACGAGCCTTAAGAGAGGTACATAAAAGTATCCACATGCTACGTTTCCTGCAGGTGTATTAAGCGTCTCATGTGCGTTCATTTTGTTTAGAATTTTAAAGTAGTTAGGTTTTAAAAGCAATAAATGAACTCGAAAATTTATTTGACAAGATGTTTGAGTAGCTCTGACCTGCAGAATGGCAAGTGTTAAAGCACATGACTATCTGACTACTAGAAATATGTAAGCAGCACTGCAATATTTTATTAAATGGATTTTTAAAAAGTATTTGTTGCGCCAAGTGGTGGTGGCGCACGCCTTTAATCCCAGCTCTCGGAAGGCAGAGGCAGGCGGATCTCTGTGAGTCTGAGGCCAACCTGGTCAACAAGAGCTAGTTCCAGGGCAGCTAGGGCTGTTAAACAGAGAAACCCTGTCTCAAAAAAAAGGCGTTTGTTGACTTATTTATTGCGGGGGTAGATATATATGCCAGAGTGCATGAGTGAAAGACACCGTGTGGGAGTCAGTTCCTTCATTCTATCACATGGCTCAAACTCATGGTCAGACTTGGCAGAAAGAACCTCTACCTGTCTAGCCATTTCTATGGTCCCTAGTTTGCTTTTGACACAGAGTCTCACTTTGTAGCCCAGGCAACCCTGGAACTTTTTATGTACCTGAGGCCTCAAACTCAGGGCGGTCTGCATTCCTCAGCCTCTCCAGCACTAAGATTGCAGTTATGAGTTATTATGACTGGCAACATTTTGATTTGGACATTTATGAAAAAAATTCTGATTTTTCACAAGCTCCGCAAGCCCACTTTTCTTCCAGGCATTCCCCCAGAGTAAACCTCACCTCTGTGCTCATGTAAAAATTATTAAGCAATTCTTGAGACCTTCTTTCTTCTCCCCCTTTTACTCTACAACCAATTTAAGGCCTGCTGAAACTAGATTCAAATATATTTCTTATTCATCTAATTTGCTTCATGTTTCCCAGCAACTGTCTAGCGTCAGACCACACCATCTCTCTTCTAGGCTAATTCAAGGGTTTCCTAGTGTGTTTTCCTGTTTTGACAGTCTGCTAATCCATTCTTTATACCACAGTCTTGGTGGTATAAAAATATAAATCAGATTATGACTTTCCCCTAACTAAAATATTTTTTACCTCCTTACGTAAAATAAAAATGAATTCCCTGCTCATCTTCCTTTCGGTCTTCATTTATCTTCATTCTCTATCATCCTCATTCTACTCCAAACACAAACATTTTCTACAGTTGCTTACAAATCTCGAATCTTTCTGGGCCCAGAGCTACTATACAGACGATCAACACGTTCTTTAATTCACTCTCATCTATTTTCTGTTTTCCCTTCAGTCTAAATTCCTCGATGAGCCTATTGCTGGACCCTCTCCCATTTTAAGTTGATAAACTCTATTATTCTCTCGCATAATACATGGTCCTCTTATAACCCACCTGTATCGTTGTATATGTTATTGTATGTATTATACTCATCGATTCTTACTAGCGATGTTAGAAATAAACAGAAAAAATGTTTGCCAAACAAACAAAAAGCCCAGCATTCGTAGAATATAGAGTATGCATTTAATCCCAGGAGACATACCAGCCTGGACGCAGCGATCACATCATGAATACTCCTGAGCATTAGATCTTCCACTTGAATGAGCCATTTCTCCACAGCGCCCCTCGCTGCAGACGTGGAGATCAGGGCAATCAGCTCCACACGCTCACCTTCAGAGCTGTACATGGCTTTAATATCCAGATTGGGCAGGAACTCCAATTTAGCAATGCCTTCAAAACATTTTTTTAGGTGTGGCTGAACTCTGAGTGGATCTTTGGTCTCTGACAAAATCTCTAACATTTCATCATTAGATAAAAAGAAAAATCTAGAAAAGAAATATGGGAATAAAAAAGCTATAGTGACAATACACCACACACCAGAAAGCCTTGTAAATTATAGCACAACTGATTATCTACCATACCGAGGGAAGAAAAGTCGTTTCTTTTCAAGATATGCATTCAACCCTTTCATGATTTTTTCCAAAAGGTCATTGCAGTTCAGGAGTTTTTCTAGTAAGCCTGTTAAGGAAGTGGCAGCGAGAACCTAAAAGACACAGTTTCATCTGAGACACACTTACGTGCTTGGTATAAGACTTAAGCATTAATACACACATGGGAAAATGTCAATGTTTTTGAAACTTTATGAAATTATTAGTGAAAAATCCTCCCCTTTTCTTGAGACAAGATCTCACTCTGTAGCCAAGGCTCAATGTGGACTTGTAATTCTCTTCTTGCTCTAGCACCCCAAAAGGATTACATCCAGCTTTTAAATTTCTTTTAGAATGTAAAAATATTAAAAATCACTAAATCATGCATGTTGTAATCTGAGGACATTAGTTACAAATGATGTTATGATTATTGTGTATATTTTATTATATTCTTTTAATAACTTTTTCATTTTTAATAGCATTATGAAATGAAGGGATGTCTGAACTTGGGTTTGTGCATGTGCTGAGGTCAAATGTGTCAGACACCGTGGAGCTGGAATTGCAGGCAGTGAGTGGTGCTGGGAGCTGAACTTGAGCCTCTAGGAGAGTAGGACGTACTCTTAGCTGTAGAGCGTACTCTGTAGTCTCTCTCTCTGTTCTTGTGAGTGCAAGGGAATAGTCTTTTTGGATGCTGTGTGATTTAGTTTTAATTTTTACAATTGTAAACTTTAAACTTAATCCGAAGCAGGTTTTGACAGTCTATAACTCACTGACCAAATCTAACCAGCTGCTAGTTTTTGTGTGATCCTCAAACTAAGAATATTTTTATACTGTCAGAAGGTTAAAAAATTCAAGGGAAGCTAGCAAAGTCGCTCAGCTGGCTGCATGCTTGCTTAGTATGCATGAGGCCTGGGTTCTATTGCCAGTGCCGTGTACAAACCACGTGTGCTGGCACAGCTGCAACCCCAGCATGCCCCAAATAGACGCAGGAGGGTCACAAGTTCAAGGTCATCCTCAGCTACATAGAGAATTTGAAGCAACTTAGGCTTGACACCCTCTCTCAAAACATAAGTAGAAATGTTGTCAGTGTCTATAAGCAAAGCTTTATTATGGTAGAAATATACCTATTTATTAGATATTAGTTCTTACTGCTTTCAATATATAATGGTAGAAGTAAGCATTACAAAATTACAAGCATTGCAAAGCCTAAAATATATACTAACTGGCTATGTACAGAAAAATCTAATCCATAAGAAATCATGTACTGAAAAGTTCCTAAAGTCATAAATGAGATAAAAATTCTTGAAACTCATAAATTTATATAATTAACTCTCAATAAGTTTAGCACTTATTTGTTTTTTTTCTCAGCATTGGAAAATGTTATTTCTTAAGTTGAATATATTTTAAAAGAAGATTCATAGCTATGATTTATGCTAAATATGTAAAAAATACTGTTTTTTTGACATTAGACCCCTGTACAAGGTACTCTTAATAGGAAAGACCCGTAGGGACTGGGTAATGAGAGTAGCTTCCTTCCCCAATAATATTGAACCCCAAAATCTGCCTCTGAATTTTTATTATTCATGCTACATTTTTCTGGGGGATAATGCTCTGGCATACTGTAAAGATTTGTCACCCATATTGGTTTAATAAAACATTGATTGGCAGACTAGGAGAGTAGTGGTAAGAGGAAAGGCAGAGACACAGTCAACCTTCAGAGGCAGAAGAAGCAAGATGAGAATGCCTTCTAAGAAAATAACGACAACTGTGCTGACCCAGCATTCTCCACCCTCTTCTTCGTCTCGTGGTCTTGTGTATCTGTTTACTTTGTGAAGTGGTGAGCAGTGGTTTTATGTAGTGGCCGTCAAGTGAGATAACCACATCTGAAGTAGTTGCACTATGCTTGCACACACACATATTTATATGAATGAGCTGTAAGTGGTATTTTTATAAATTGAAAAATAAATTATTTTCATACTTTTGAACTTATATTTTTATGAACTTTCCAATTGGTATACAATGAGTAAGTATTATTTTAATAATCAGAATCAAAAGCCAAATGCTTTCTTTAAACCCCGACTAAGGTTCACCGACTACAAGAGAGACAACAAGCACTTCACCTTCGGATCTTTCGCACAGAACTTCATGATTTCCCTCCAGTGTCTGTCCACCGTCTGGAACTGACGGCCTTCCTCTGGCATCTGCTGCATGATGTCCTCAGAACAAAAGATGGGCTCTAAGTAGAGCCACTGGGCCTGCACTTTTAACCATTCATCAATTGTTTCCTGGATTCGGATCAGACGGTCCTCCCAGGCCTTGGTAAAAAAGCATACTGCACTAACTTCCAGTTTTTAAAAGAAAACTATATATTATAGCAAGAATAAAGTAGTAGAATTTATAGTGTATATTATTTGTGTTTTAATAAATAAAGCTTGCCTGAAGATCAGAGGGCAAAGTAGCCACACTAGTCAACCATACAGCCCAGGGAGTGATGGCGCACACCTTTAATCCTGGCACTCAGGAGACAGAGGCAGGTGGATCTCTGTGAGTTCGAGGCCACCTTGGGCTACACAGATTGAATCTGTCTAAAAGAGAAACAGAGCTCACACAAAGGTGATCCCAGACACTTGAGATCATATGCCCTTAATCCCAGCACTAGGGAGGTGGAGATAGGAGCAGAAGGGCTGGGTGGAGAGAGGAATATAAAGGGGGAAGAGGCAGGAACCCAGTGGAGTGTGCAGTCTGAGGTTGTGGAGAGCACTGCAGGATCTCCCCATTGTTTGTCTGAGCTTTGGTAGAGGTAAGATTTCTCTAGTGACTTGGCTGCTTTGCTTTTCAGGTTTTCAGGGTGAACTCCAATATCTGCCTCTTGGTTTTTAATTATTCATGCTATAAAATTCTCTATTGTTTTAATATCAATAAAAAACAACCTTAAGATCACTTATAGGAATCTTACATATGTTTAGAAAAAAATATAGGAGCCCTAAGTTTTCCTAAATCAATGAAACTCACAGTTGGTAGTGACTGTAAAATTATTTCATTTCCTAATCTCTCAGGGAATCACTCCAAATCTTAACGTATATCCTGCTCTATACCAGATATTGTCAACTATGGATGATGTTGTCCTCCATACCAGGCACTATTTCAGAGTGTCTGAAATATTACAAGGTTGGTTATTATAGCTAATAGGGGGAAGATACTTCTAACATCTAGTGTATGGACACCAGAAATACTGCTAACTGTACTACAATATGCAGGGTAATCCCCATATGTAACAAGACTTTCTCTGTCCCACCAGCCAGCTCCCAAACAATGACATGGAGACTTATTATTAATTACCAAAGCTTAGCCTTAGTTTAATCTTATTTTTAACTAGCTCTTATTACTTAAATATTTTTATTAGTCTGTGTTCTACCACATGCCTTTTACCTCCATTCCATCCTGTGTCTCTCACTCCTAGATTCACCTCCTACTTCCTCTGCTCCTGCCCAGAAGTCCGGCTATACCTCTTGCATAGCTATTGGCCCTTCCACTCTTTATTAAAACAATCCCAGCAATGTATCCTCACACAGTGTACAATTATCCTATCACACCCATAAACAAGAATTATTCAGTCCAAGACCAGAGAAGTGGCTCAGTAGATAAAGGAACTTTACCCAGACATCCTGAGTTGGTGCCCCAAATGGGGTCCCATACAGTGGAAGGAGAGAACTGATTCCTACAAGTTGCTCTCCAACCTAGTCACATGCACTGTGGCCTGCATGCATGCACACATGTACAGGAAGACACATACACAGTAATAAATAAACATATGAAGAAATAAATGTAGATAAAAAATTACTTAGCCCCAAATGTCAACAGTGTAAAGTTGGAGGATCTTGCTCTGTATTGGGACAGTTTGGAGAGAATTGAACTTAAATTTTTAAAATAAAGTAAAACAAGCCTTCCAACTCTCAGAGATTGCACGGTGTTAACAAAATATTTCTCAAGTGTACGTATGGCTTAAGGTCCTAGGTTTAGAACTTAATTCCCTGTTTTTTTAAAACATAACATTTTAAATTTCTCTATAACTTTTTAACACACACATGCACATGCATGCATACACACACACACACATACACACACACACACACACACACACACACACACTGAATAAGAAAGGCCAGGCTAGCCTGGCTGTAGGACAGATCCAGTGCTAGGTCTCTTTGAAAAGCACAACTGTTTTCAACAAATGACGGCAACCAAGACTGTCTATGAAACACTGTTTATGCTTAAATTAAACCATTCACAGTATAAAAATGTATCAAAACATCACAATGTATGACAGAAATATATAAAGTTGTTACTTGTGAATTAAAATGCTATTAAAATTATATATAGTTTTTAAAAAACTGCCTTGGTTTGAATCTCAATTATATCATTTAATAGCTAAGTGAATTTGGACAAATTATCTGTCCTCAGTTTTCTTACCTATTTAGATAGATAATAACAATGTCTACCATGAAGATCTGCTGTGGGGAATAAATCAGCTAGTAATTGTGAAAACACAAGACCATTGACTAGCAAAATTAACATCAATCAAAACTGGAATCAACAATCCAGTAATTTGTCTTTTCCTCAATTTATATAGCCCCCAGTTAGAATTCTGATATTATTGTTGTTACCTAACAGAAACTTAAAGCGTTAAAGTAGCAGTGCTTGGGTTGGAGGACTGAACTGCTGACTCCAAACACCCTGTCAAATTGGTTTTTTGTTTCAAATAAAATCAAGGAACTGGGTAAATCAACCAAGGTTACCCAGCTCCTCTTCCAGATCACAGAGAATAAGTTTTGGTTCTTGTTGTTATTTGTTTGTTTAAATAAGTAGAAAATTTTCTCTCTACCACCTTTAAACATTCAATGTATTTAAAAGCCTAACCTCTTTTCCTTATTTTTTTTACCTTTTTTTTTTTTAAGACAAGGTCTTGTCATATAGTCCAGGCTGGGTTCTAACTCGCTAGATAGCCTAGGGTAGATTGGTATGCATGATGATTCTCCTGCCTCAGGCTCCTGAACACTGGGATTACAAGCTTTGCTAGGAGCAGCTAAGGCGGTATCTCTAGTTGTCTGTGCACAAGAATGTGCCTACCTGGCTACCTCTACACTAGATGACAAGTCTTTCCAGTATAAATGTCATCACATGCACACGCGCACACACACTCACACTCATGTGCATGCACACACACATACGCACGCACACACACACACGAACACACACACACTCAGTGCTTCCCTTAGTTTATACAGTTTATAACCCTTTCTTAGTCTTTTATCTTCTGGTTGTGCTTTATTGGTTTTGTGCTCACAGAGGGGAAAAACTACTGGACTTTGTTATCTATGAAGCTAGGATCATAATTTGTATGTTTTCCATAATTACCCAAATCAACAATAAAGATATATTATTTACTTTTTGAAGTAAACAGCAATTCATTAATTGCTTATTATTCAAAATAGAATTAATAGTGATAGATAACTTTACTGTGAGGATACAGTGTGATATGTGATTTGAACTTTCTAAAATTAGCTGTATTTAAAAATTCCCAGGAACTAAGTTTTTAAATTTCACTTGCAATAAAAACTGCTTGTTGGTCTAGAGTGTGCACTTAATATGCATGGGGACCTATTACAGAAAGGAAGGCAGGAAGGAAGGTGGTGCGGGAGAATTGTCTGTATTCTGTCAATCATGTTTTAAATAAATGCTGATTGGCCAGGCAGGAAATATAGGCGGGAAAACCAGACAGGAAGTAGAAATGATGTAATGAGAACAAGAGAAGTCTGGGAAGGAAGAAGCTGATTCCTCCCACTCCTGCCCAGATCACCGAAACAGCAGGATCTGATTTGCCCCACTGAAAAAGGTACTGAGCCACATGGCTAACATAGATCAGAAAAATGGGTTAATCAAGATGTGAGAGTTTGGTGCCCAGACGTGTGGCTAACTGAATCCACAAAAAAGCCTGAGAAAGCTTGGGAAAGAATGGAGTGAAGCATGTTTTCTTGGTAGCAGAAATTTCTTGGGTCTACTCTGCTTGCTAGAGGCAAGCAAGCGCTCTCATCTACGAGAGGCTTCCTGACTCAGCTTCAGCTGCAAAACCCTGCAGCTCATTAAGAGGTCCTGCCACGAAACACTTAAACGGTGTTGGTGAAAAGCTGAACGCATGCTTTTCGGTTTTCAGCCGTAGCAGGAAAAAAGTTGTGCTGTTTAAAAATGCCGGCTTTCTGGGCCGTCCTGCCAGGGCAAACTCTGACTGAGGCAGGAGGGCCAACTAGCGAGAGAGGACTTGACTGTTGTCTGTTGTAGCTCACTGGCTGGCAGGGACCTTGAAACGCCATAGAGTTGTGGCAGTAAACAAGGCTACAACCGGTACCTCAGCCATGAGGCTGGAAAGCTAAGGAATGGACTGGATCTAGCTGGCAAAGCCACGGCTTTAATCCTACTCATATTGCTCAGTAATTTAAAGGCTCGTGTGGTCAGAAAAAGAGAGATATACAGTAAAGAGATTCAAAGATAAAGAAAATGTTTAAATGATTTACAGTGTGTTAAAAATATATGCAAGCTAAAAGTTAAAAGTTTTAAAAAAAAAGTAAGAAAAAGAGAAGTTGTGTGTGGTAGTACACGCCTTTAATCCCAACACTTGGGAGGCAGAGGGAGATTGACCTCTGTGACTTCAAGGTGTGGTAGCACACGCCTTTAATCCCAGTGCCTAGAAGGCAGAGACAAACAGATCTCTGTGAGTTCAAGGTGTGGTAGCAAACACCTTTAATCCCAATGCCTGGGAGGCAGAGACAGGCGGATCTCTGAGAGTTCAAGGAGAGCCTGGTCTACAGAGTTATTCCAGGTCAAAGAGATACAGAGAATATAAAATAAAAGTAAAAATAAACGAAATAGAGGTTAAAATAAAGCGTACAAAGATGGAAAATACACAGAGAATCTTGATACTGTATACTATTATGCTCTCTTTGAATTGTTTGAATGCTGAGGAAGGAGCAACAGCTGCTAAAAGATATTTGTTTATAAATGCTGCTGAACTAATCCATCGTAGAGATTTTGATGCCTTGACTTTGAAATTTGGATCTAAGGACATGATACTTTGGAAAGGAGTTTCTTATTTTGTTTTCACAGAGGATGAGACCCTGTTCATTTCTTCTATTCCGATATGGTATGATGGACCACGCCCTCCTGAACGGTTGCTGTGAATACCTTCAGAAAATTGCTTCGCTCAACTGCCAACTGAGATGAAACTAGCACACAGGTTATACCATGAAAGACCTAATTAACGACGCCCCCATTCAGCAGGAAGCAGTTTGGAGAGAAAAAACTGCGCCCATATTCCCAAATATTGTTTATAAATGTTCTTTTACATTTAAAGGGGGAGATGATATAGGTATGAATAATTTACATTGATATGGATTTTGCTTTAGTGATTTAAATTTAAGGTTAATTTTGTAATGTATATAGGTTGTTAATGAATAATCATTAATAATAGTTAAGTTTGTAGTCATGTTAGTTAAGATTTTCTAGATGTGCATAGATATATTTTAGATAGGCATTCTTCATATTTTTCAAAGATTATAGAATATGGCATTTTAAATGTTTTAATAACTTAGGACTTTTCATGACAATGAGACACTCTGCTCCTGGCAGCACCAATCTACTTCAAGAGGAAGATGGGCATCGAAGAGGATCCTTATGGAGTTTGATAGCCATTTGGGCAAGAAACTGCTCTTGCCTGGACTATTGCATAAACTGGACACAGAGAACCCGCAGAGAGAGGACTGCTGAACTTGCCTAAAGGTGAGATGACCTTTTGGGGTTCCTGATTCATGAAAGAGTCTGCAAGACATTCTTCAGGACAAGCAGATAGTGACTGCCTTTGAAATTTCCTGCTTTGTGGAAATGTCTGCTGGAAACTATGGGCCTGTAGGCCGAAGATGGATGCCCCAACAGTACAGAGGAACTTTGGGTGACTGTCCAGGCAGCGAGATGTCTCTGTCATTTCTAGAGCTTTGGATTTCTTGTTTGCTTAGGTAATATTGTATCTTTCTGGATTTTTTGATGGAGTTAAGAATAGTTAGCTATAATTATAGTTTTCCTTAGTTATGATATAGATTATTGTAATTTTTACTTGATAACTGTTTTGTTATATGTAATTTTGCTATGTTAAAGTTAAAGCCTTCCTTTTTTTTTGTTTAAACAGAAAAAGGGGAAGTGATGTGGGAGTGTCATATATCAATCTGTTGATTTCATTGGCTGAGCAATAAACCAACTGCTTGGCCTCATAGCTTAGAACATAGATGGGAGGAGTAAACAGAATAGGATGCTGGGCGGAAGAGGAAGTGAGGTCAGAATCTGCGCTGCTTCCAGAGGGACCGGACAGCCGCCATGCTCTGCTCTCCCAGGCAGCTGCAACCCAAGATGGACTTAGGCTAGAATCTTCCCGGTAAGCACCTTGGGGTGCTTATACACATCATTAGAAATGGGCTAGTCCAGGTGCGAGAATTAGCCTGTAAGGGCTAGAGTTCATGGGCCAAGCAGTTAAATGAATACAGTTTGTGTGTTGTTATTTCGGGCATAAGCTAGCCAAGCGGTCGGGGTGTTGGGGACGCAGCCCCGCCGCTTCGTATTTCAACAAGAGTTAGCCAGTGAGAGGCTAGAGCTAGTGGGCCAATAAGCTTATAATTTATGTAGACCTATGTGTAAATTTCTTTGGGACTAAACAGTTGTGGGGTAAAGGGTGAGACAAAAACAACAAACAAGCAGCAGGCCCGTTCATGTTACAGGAGGTGGAAAGAAAAGAAGGAGGGAGGAGAGGGAGGGGGAGAGGGAAAGATGGAGGAAACAAAACCAGAGCTTGGTATGGTGGCTCATCTTGTAATTCCAGTACTCAGGACCTGAAGTAGAATAATAATCACCAGTTTGAGACCTGCTTGGCCTATATAGTGAGTTAAAGGGTGGCCTACAATACACAGTCCACGTCTTAAGGCAAAGTAGGGAAAAATGAGGAAGACGGGAAGGGGAACAAGAAAGAGTTTGATACTGTTTCCTTCTATCTCTATCACTGGATATAAATCTTAATAAAGTATGACTTTCTTCTCAAAAACATTAGTTAATATATTATTTGTTTATTCATTTTTAAGCTGTTTTATAGATGAGCGTTTTGTCTTTATCTGTTTATCGTGTGCATAGATAGAGCAGCCATGGAGGACAGAAGAGGGCATCAAATCCTCTGGAGCTGGAGTTGCAGATGGTCGCTAGCCACTTTGTGGATACTGGGAACTGAACAAGTGTTTTTACCACGGTGTCGTCTCGTCAGGCTCCTACTGCATATTAATCTTCAAATGTGTATTGTTGTATCTCACCACATGCCAAGGCTTAGTTCTATCACTTGAATAGACATATTAAAAGCATCCAAGAATACTTTCATGAGAACATATATGAAACAAGATAGACGTTTTTATAAATGACAAGAAGCTATCATACTTAACATACCTTGATCTCATTTTCAAATGGTTTGATAAAAGGTGAGCCTCTCATTGTCTGAGTTTTTATAATTTGGTCATCAAGAATTGCCTGAATCTCATCCACTGAAGAAAGGATGCAGACTCCAGTGTCACGATACAGACTCATGTGAAAAGAAATATCATCCCACGCTGCTATCATGGCATTCATGGCTCTCTCTAAGGAAAATTCCTAAAAGGGAGAAATGGAAAAAGAAGAGGATGAAGAAAACTGGATGCAGATAAAAACTGGATGATGGAAAAAGGAATTTATAGCCAGGTGGTGGTGGCACATTCCTTTAGTCCCAGCACTCAGGAAGCAGAGGCAGGCAGATCTCTGCGAGTTCAAGGCCAGCCTGGTCTACACAGCAAGTTCCAGGAGAGCTAGGGCTGTTCCACAGAGAAACCCTGTCTTGAAACAAAAAGAAAAATGAAAAAAAAGAAACTTATTTATGCTATTTAATTTCTCTGGGCAACTCAGTGAGCATTTTGCTCATTAAATCGTATTCTCCATAACTGTCTGCCTGTCTATCATCTGTCTATATCTGTCTGTCTTTCTTTTATCTACCATCTATCTATCTGTCTATCAAGAAGGGGTAATTTTTAAATGATTTAAAAGTTCCTTAGAGAAGTCATGAACCTAGGAGAGAAGCAGACACCACTGTTCTGCTAAAGGAGAAGAACAATAAAATGGCACTCTCCTATACCCATAGCTGCCTTGCTCAGTTACCGTCAGAGAAGCTCCTCCCTGCAATAGATGGGAACCAGCAAACAACCTATAAATGGCCTGTCTGAAGAGAGTGGGAGACTTTGGAACACTCGATCCTAAGTGAGATGTTTCCACCAAATTCCTCTTCTCTGTGGCAGAGGAGGTGGAAAGACTGTGAGAGCCAGAGGGGAAGGGGGACACCAAGGAATCAAGGCCTTCCAAATACAGCAAGACGGATGCGTATATGAACTCACAGTGATGGTGGGAGCATGCAGAGGGCATGCCCGGTCTGTCCAATTGTTCCAGTGCTGGGAGGGAACCCAGAAGCTATCTCTAATCGATAACTTCTCATAAAGGAAAAATTAGCTTCCTCCAATGGCTTCTCACTGGGTATACAAACCGCTCTCAAGGGCAGGCGCCATGCCCAGAAGCATATGGCCAACAGAAAATTAACCCAATGGCATTCTTTTTTTAAAATCTTACAGGTCTTCCATGTATATATTATGGTTTCTGATTTTGTGTTTATATGGGAATCCTATGTGTGCAAACAAATGAGTCATTGTGTCTACATGTGTTTCTTGTGCTTTTTCTTTGGCTCTTCTGTTTGTTTTGTCATATTCTAATTTATTGTTTTTATTTTAATTTACTTTATTTTATTACTATTTTTAGATGCCTGTTTTCTATTGAGAGATAAGAAAGATGTGGAAAGAGTTTAGGGGAGGGGAAACCATAATCAGAATATACTATATGAAAAATTCTATTTCCAATTAAAAATAGAAAAATTCCTAAGAAAAATGAAGTGTTTTGAAGTTTAGTTATTATGGAAACTCTTGTTGTCACTGTTAAAATGGGCAACAGAATAAAATACCCACTGGGTTGTCTCCAAAATGGCTTTTTTGCAGGTAGTCTGTAGCTTGAATTTTCTGTGTATTTCAAGAACCTTCTTTCTAAGGTCATACTTATTTGTTGGAACATACACACAGACACACACAGTCACAGACATAGACACACAGATACATACATATGCACACACACACACATACAATGTGCTACATACATATCCATTCACTCAGGTTCTTAATAGAACAATCATATAACAATACTAATGTATCATCCAATTATATCGCAACATGGCAGAATTAGGAAAGTATCAAAGGGGAAGTTTCTAGTCTGGATCTCAGAGAAGCAAGCGCGTGTCTGCGTCATGAAAGAGTGGTCCTCTATCGCCTTCCACTCACCATTGTTATCTGTACTATATACACCACAGCAAAACAAAACCTGCACCCATCAGAGAACCAACCCATCAAGTATTTCAGTTTCTCTTCATGCTTACCTTGCTTGCACCTGCGCTTATCACTTCAAATTTTTCTAAATATGGTGTAAGGTTTAATTTTAGAACCTTTCTCAGTGTAGTTCCAGAATCTGGAGTTAAGTCATAACCCACAATCTCTGACATCTGTTTCCAGTGACGAGCTCTCATTCCTGGGTTGCACAGAATGGAAACAGTAGGGATGTACTCCTGAGAATGGAAATACAGATAATAATCTCATTTGACTAACCTTAATAATAGGAAAATTACATTTCTTTAAGTTACTTAATGTGAGTGCAATCAAAACATCAACTAGATTGAGAGGAACGGAACGAGGAGCACAAGGATTCTAAAGTTCACCTGCAATATCAGGTGTGCATAGCAATCAAGAAATTACCAAAGTAAGAATTAACAAGGAAAAATTTCATGAACCTTAGTATCACAAAAAATAAAGTACTTAATAGCAAATTTAAGAAATATGAGGCCTACATAGTAAAAATGCAAATATCATTTTAAAGGGAATGGAGATCCAAATAACTGGAAAGATGTTAAGGGCAGAGTAGAGAAGGGATAACCACTACTACAGATCTTTTGAAAAAGTCACCTGTAAGCCTGCTGCTGTGGGGCTTTCTAAAACATACATGCACATATATTGAAAGAGTGACATATACCAGAGTGACAGCGCCCCTGCTAGACACCACAGGCCAACAGGACCTATCTTTATGGAAGAGGCCATAAGCACTTTGTAAAGAGTAAACATTGAAAGACCCCTACCCTAGTCTCCATCTTAAGATGTTTTTGTGAGCAACTAGGCCAGGGAAAAACAGGATATCTGTGGGCAGCAGAAGCAGCCTTGAGAAAAACACCCAGTCCTTTGTGTATCAAAGCTCAGGGAGGCAGAAACTGGCTAAAAACTGGTTTAATTTAGACTTGTTTTGTCCTGATTTGTTTTTACCCTGTTAGACTTGTTTTATCCTGTTAGACTTGTTTTATCCTGTTAGACTTGTTTTATCCTGTTAGACTTGTTTTATCCTGTTAGACTTGTTTTATCCTGTTAGACTTGTTTTTATCCTGTTATATTTGTTTTCATCCTGCCAGGCAAGATGTGCTTACTGGTGCAGCGGTAACGTGATGGTTATTGGGTTAATCAGCTACTTTCTGATTGGATATGAGCAAACTCCACAGAAGGGAATCAATGCCTACTACTGTAAATGTTGTGAAAAGCCCATGGCTCAGGTGGTAATAGGCCTTAGAGGAACCTACTACTGTTGTTCTGTTAAATGTACATGTCAAACTGCTTTCTAAATAGCTATGACAGACTCATAGATTAGAAAGTACTTCTCTCTATCTAGGGAAAGAAAGTTCTATCTTTGGTGAGTAGCAGTTAATGCAGAGACTGCCAGAGTGCTAAGAATACGTTCCTGTTAGGGGCTGGAGAGATGGCTCAGAGGTTAAGAGCAGTGGCTTCTCTTCCAGAGGTCCTGAGTTCAATTTCCAGTAACCACATGGTGGCTCACAACCATCTGTAATGAGATCTGGTGCCCTCTTCTGGCCTGCAGGCATACATGGAGGCAGAACACTGTATACATAATAAATAAATAAATCTTAAAAAAAAGAATATGTTCCTGTTGAATACTTAGACACCTAAACGGGACCTCTAGATCATGTAACCGCCTTGAGGGTCAGGGAACATCACAGAAAAGCAACTGTTAAGAATACAAGAGCCAGGAGAGGGGCTGGCAAGATGGCTCAGGGGTTAAGAGCACTGACTGCTCTTCCAGAGGACCCGGGTTCAATTCCCAGCACCCACATAGCAGCTTGCAGCTGTCTGTAACTCCAGTTCCAGAGAATCGGACATCATTATACCAATGCACATGAAATAAGGTTAAATAAAGTTTAAAAAAAAAAAAACAAGAGCCAGGAGAAGAAAGGAGTGTTGTGAAATGTTTTCCTCTAGACATGCCATGACTGCATGAACTGACTGTAGCTACAGGTAGCCTATACGAGGCCTGCGCAGGTTCTAGTGAACAGGATCAGTTCACATTCCAGCAGACATCAGTAACTGGACTGACTTTTTTTTTAAGGAGAGGACACAAAGATATGGGGAAAAAGAAGAACAAAATGGGTAAAGAGCCAGACATAGAGTCCTGTACCTGTTATCACAACACTCAGGAAACTGAGGCAATTGCCAGTTTGGGGCCAGTCTGGGTCACACAGTAAACAGGTTAATCGGGGGGAAGAAACCAATCTTGTCTCAGAAAAAAAGGGCAAATGATCTAAATAGGCATTTCTCCAAAGAAGGCACAAAAATGTCCAGTAAGCATGTGAAAAGATATCCGGCCTTCAGGATGACGCAAGGCAAAACCACGATATACCACTTCATCCTCACTAGAGTGACAAAAGCCACCAAGACTGACAATTACAGTGTAAAGTATGTTACCCAGCAAGCATCAAGTTCCTTTCCTATCTCCTGTGACCCATGGAAATATTACTGGAGGGACTGTGGGTATAGGCAGAGTACAGGAAACCCAGAGAGAGGGAAGCAGATACTATATAAAAACAAAGAAATGTTATGATCAGTCTTATAGTAACAAATTTAACAGCTTATGATCTTCAACATAAATTAAGCGAAATAAGGGGGTGATTTCCCACATCCTATGGGAAATAAGACACTCTATTCACACTGTTGTGTGTGCACCAGAGTTCTGAAATATTCAAGTGCTAACACTCATCCGCGGCATAATAAAGATGAGAAATATGAGATGAGAGTTTGCAGATTTTCATTTCTGGACCATGAAATGTACTAAACATAGAAAGTAATCCATAAGTAGTCAATGTCTTCAATGAGACAACTCATCTAATCATTGGAAGAATGTGACGCAGACAGGGCAGAACTTAAGCAGCCTCACCAGCCTACAGTCTAGACATGCTGGCTACACAGTCGGCATCGCCACTAGAACCACTAGTGCATTATCAGCTACACAGAAGAAGGAAATGGCAGCCGGTGTTGTGGTCCATGCCTACAGTCCTAGGACTGGAAAGGTATAAGTAGGAGGATCATGAGTTTGAGGCTAGCCTGAGCTACATGAGGTCCAGGCCAGGTTGGGCTGCACAATAAGATTGATGACATAAGTTCAATTCCAAAATCCACATGGAGGAAGGAGAGAGCTGACTCATACATGTTGTCCTCTGACTTAGACACACAGATAAGGCATACATGTACATGCATTTCAGGAATGACAATGCTCTCTGGCCTCCATACATATGTGCATGGATGCCTCACTAATGTGTTCCTCCATACATGAATACACAAGTACACACATAAGTTGTGCACGTACATACATACATTAATATTCTTGTCTAAAATAAAGAAGGTGAGGATTTGACCAAAGGATAAGGGAAAAAAAGTATTTCAAAACTACACACACACACACACACACACACACACACACACACAAAAACTCCACTGGTTATGTGAGTCTCTGCTTATCTGTTTTTTGTTTGTTTTGGTTTCAGTGAGACAAATGGGTATCTCACTAGATAGCCCACGTTAGCCTAGAACTTGTAATCGCTGTTCTTCAACCTCTAGGTGCTGGGATGTGCTGCCGCACAAAACTATATTTCCACTTTTCTTTAGGTATCAGAGTTACTCTATCAAAGCAGCCATCTCAAAATCACAGGAAGTTCACAACTCATAGCCTTAACAGCTTCCACAGCAACAAACAAACAAATAAAACCAGGCTCCTAGCATCCAGCCAGTTTAAAAATGCCAAGAGGAATATTATTGGCCCAGTTTGGACTATAGGCGTGTCCCTGAACCAATCACCACAGCCAGAGAGACGACTTAGTAGGGTCAACTCATCTTGCATCAGGCACGCCCATGAGATACAACTGATTAGTTACTGACCCAAACTTTTTTACATGGAGCCGGACTACTGAATACACAGTCTTACTATTGGAGAGTTGATTTTATATTTTATATACTATATAGCATGACACTGAGAAGAGATGTACGATATTTAAATGCCATTAAATACATGTATACCTTAAAAACCTTTATTTGCTCCATTACAATAGCACACATAGCAATTGTAGGATTCTCTTTTGGTTGTTCTTCTTCAGCTTTCTCTTCTACCAAAGATCGTTTTCTTGCTGCCTTTCTTCTCTCTTGTAATTCTTTCTTTTGCTTGGTTTGGAAGAATTTTAGTGTCTTAAAAATTTCCCGGGAAAACTCATCTATATCGGCTTCCATGCTTTCCCCATTAAGGTCCAAAAACCCTCCATCCATCCACCTGAATAAGAAGAAAAAATAATTTAAAACTCAGACTTTTGAACTATATATAAGTATTGGGAAACTTTTCTGTGGAATCATTTTGTTCTATACGAGAGACAACTGAGGCACACAGGTAGAAATAAAGGTAAAGGGGCAGAGATAACACCATCATTTAACCTGCAGGGCCTGCAGGAAAACATGCATCCAGTGACAAGTAGGTAACTAACACTATTCGGTAAAATGCAGTTCTGGAACTCCCTTTGTAGACCAGGCTGGCCTCGAACTCACAGAGATCCGCCTGCCTTTGCCTCCCGAGTGCCCGAGTGCTGGGATTAAAGGCGTGCGCCACCACCGCCCAGCTTGACTGCGCACTTCTAATTTTGTTTGAATATTAGTAAACTAGTTTCATAAAATGTGAACTGGCTCTGATAAATGTAGCGCAATTATTAAAAACCCCGAGACAGATATCGGGGTTCAGTCTGAAGGTCAGAAAAACAAAACAGCCGACCACTGTCTCTTACCTCAGTCTGAAATGGCGATCCTGTCTCCAGGAATCCTCAGAATGAGACTGACTGAAAACTGTCTCTTCCCATTGTATAATCCTGGCTAGTGCTGGGATTAAAGGCATGCACCACTACCACCCGGTTTCTATAGCAAATTTGGGGCTGGAGAGATGGCTCAGCAGCTGAGAGCACTGCCTGTTCTTCCAGAGGTCCTGAGTTCAATTCCCAGCAACCACCTGATGGCTCACAACCATCTGTAATAATATCTAGCCTGGCTAGCTCAGTCGGTAGAGCATGAGACGACCCTTCATCTCAGTGTTGTAGATTTGAGCCATACATTTGTGCCAGATATCATTACAGATAAATCCAAGCTCTATTGCACAGTTCAGCAGCAGGTTAGCATCATCTGAGGCTCTCCCATATGACACTTGCTTTTCACACGAGTAAATGAATAAGTACTACTTTGAAACCTTTAACAAGAAATGCCTTATATTTATACACTTTTATATCACTTGCTTAATTTTTTTTATTATATTACCAAAAGTTACCTTTTTTCTGTTCTTTGCCACTTCAAAACAAAATTAAAAAACTTCTGGTAGGGCTCGATGTTAACTTTTAATTTTTCCAGCTCGGGATACTTTGTCAGTTCCCATTTGAAAAGCTCCTCCTCTTTATTAATAAACTGAACTGCTTCTTCGGATTCCTGAATGCGTTTCTGTAGTTGCCTTACGTCCATCACATACTAAAAGCAAACAAATGTCTGTTCCTGAAATATCTAGATGGTATTATAACAAGATCACATAATATTACATAACTAATGTTCTCCTGTTTGTTTTTTTCTGAGACAGGGTTTAGGAATGTTCTCCTGTTTAAATATCAACTTCCCAACATCGCTATGGTGATGAGCAGGCTATGGTTATACACATTGCATGGCAGTAAACTAAGTCACAGATGTCAGGTTCGATAATCAAGTAAACTTTGATTTGACATGCTAAGTGCATGTTTCCTCTACATTTTAAAAAGTGTTTGTCTGCCCTGTGCTAACCCCTGGTTAGCTACAGTCAAAGCCCTAACTATGTTTCTGACCTGCTGCATGCGATCCAGTTCTGCAAACTCCCTGAACTCTTCCATGCGACGCGATTCCTTCTCTATTTCCAAGATTAGTTTCTCTCTCTTGGCTATTAGTTCATTCTCCTTCAGACGCTTAGCACTCTCAATGAGCTTTATGAAAAGATAATTTAATGATGTTAACAAATGTAGTAGAAAGATAAGAATTTTGAAATAAAACTATCAATGTTTTATAGTAATTTAGAGAAAATGGAAACAGAATCATTGTCTCTAAAGACCGATGTATAAATACAAAGAGTAAATCACAGAGACAAATTTTCCCACATCTTTCAAAACTCAAAATAGTTAATTATATAGTTTGACTATTTAATGTGTTATGGTATAAAATTAAAACCTACCATTTATTGAGCATACACATACCATATATTAAGAGCTGTTAAGTACCTTTTCTACGTTATTATGATTTTCTCTGCAAAGATAAAGAAACTGAAATGTATGAAAATTTTGAAGCATGTCAAGGTAAAGAGACTGTCAAAGCAAAAAGCTGAGATTAAAACCTTGTATATCGCACACATTTTGTTATTGTTCTATTTTGGCTCCCAATTTTGGATAAACTGGCTGATTGCTTTTCAGGATTTTAAACTATACCCGGTCTGATATAAAATCCTAAATCTGTTACCTCCAATCTCTGAGAATTTGAGCAAGTTACTAAACTTCTCTCAGTTACATTTTCATCATCTATAAAATGGGAGAAATTGGAGCAGCTGGGATTTTATGAGTATTTAATAATAAGTGGAAATCACTTAGCTCATGTTCACTACTAGTTCACATAATATTTCTGACCTCTTTGTTGTTCATGCTACACTTACCAAACCCGGAGAGGTAAGCCTAGAAGCCTCTTCTAAGCTGACAATACCGTAACAGGTGAAAGACACTTACACTACATATATGAAGCACTTTTTTTTTTTTTATTTTCGAGACAAGGTTTCTCCGTAGCTTTTGGTTCCTGTCCTGGAACTAGCTCTTCTAGACCAGGCTGGCCTTGAACTCACAGAGATCCGCCTGCCTCTGCCTCCCGAGTGCTGGGATTAAAGGTATGCGCCACCACCGCCTGGCTATATGAAACTTTTTAAAGTGAGATGGCAAATTGGTGTGAAAATTAAACAACCATACTACTTAAAATGTCAGACTGTGGACAGTGAGATGGCTCTGCCAGGAAAGGTGTTGGCCACTAAATCCAATACCCAGGATCCACAAGGTACTAACTGCCACAAATGATCTTATTTCAACATGCATTCCATAGTGTTCAAACACACACACACTCACACGGGGCAGGGGAGAGAGGTAATACTAAAACTTCCAGAACACAAATTATACACTTAAAAAAATACTTACTTCATCATTCTCATCAAACACGGGGTTAATTTTTGTAGGCCACATGAGGACAGCTGCATTTAAATTTAAGTCTTCTTGAGGAAATAGAAAAACATCTAAAAAGTAACTCATTTGCCGTTTAGATTCCTACAAAAGAAACTCTAGTTATATCATATAAAAAAGAACATAGCCAACAATTTCTAATGTTCCTTCAAATTTAATATTTTGTGCTCTGTCCAAATCACAGGTATTTACTTGGCTTCAAGTAATACAACTGTACTTTAACAAGGGTTTTTAAAAATCTTTAAATGCTTGCGCCTGGGTCTGGGAAGATGACTTAGTGGGCAACATGCTTGCTGCACAAAACCTGAGTTTGGACCTCTAGCACCAGTAATAAACAGAAATAGTGGTGTGTGTCTGTGATACCAGAATGTGGAAGCTGGAGACAGGAGGATCCAAGGGGCTTACTGACCAGCCAAACCGAGTATGTGAGCTGCAGGCTCAGTGACAGAAACTCTGTCTAAACATAGATAGGAGAGTAACAGAGGAAGACATCCACACACATAGCCCGTGTGATACCCCCCTATACACACACTCCCATACATGAGATTATTTTTCTCTGACTGCTGACTTAATATAAAGGTAACTCTTTGACCTCCTTGTCCATGATTTTATAAAATGATCAAGTATTTGGCAACCTCAGAAACTTTCAATTTTAAACTATCTTAAATTCTTTTTGTTCTTATGACTTGATTTTTAATCTTTGATGCTAAAATACTAAATATTTTATCATCATTTGTTATTCTGTATCCTTAGTAATATTATCATATTTTGGCTACTTAGCATTATAGCAGGAAGTCCAGGAAGAGCTCCAGAGTGAATAGCAAAAGAAAAAAAACTTAACACAGTAGATGTAATTGGAGAAGCACAATTTTTTGACCCCTATGGATCTCATTGATCTATATGTTATATAGTACTGCTGTATCACTTCATCACTTAACAAAACATCGGGGATGACAAGATAGTCAGGGGAAAAGCATGTGGTGCCATGCCCCACAACCTGGGTTAGACTCCTGGAACCACACAAAGGGAGAGAACCAGCTCCCTCGGGTTGTTCTCTGACCTCCACACATATGTCCTGCCATGTGCACACCCTCACACAAATTAATTAATCCAGTAATTAAAAGAAGAAAAGTTGGATCTGGTGGTACCCCAGAATGCTCAGAAAGGAGGGGTAATGCTCAGAAAGGTCAAGCCCCTTCCATGACACCTGAGGGAAATGTGTGAACACGGTCTCCAGGATCCACACACAGAAATGTTTACAGTAGCACTGCCATTAATAACAAAGAATAATAATCAAATATCCAGAACAGTAAATCCTAAAACTCCTTTTGTGTGTGCAGATATAGGTACATGTGTGTGTCCATGTGTGTGTGTGGAAGCCAGAGGTCAACCTCTGGTATCATTCCTTAGGAATGGCCCATATTATTGTTTAATTTTTGTTTTTTTGAGACAAGGTCTCTCTTTGATTGTTCTGGAACTCGCTATGTAGATCAGCCTGGCATTGAATTCATATAGACCCTCCTGCCTCTACCTTTGGAAAGCTAGGATTAGAGGCATGGATCACTATGCCCAGCTTAAAACCACCTTAGCTTTTAAGAGAGTCTCTCACTGGCCTAGGGTCCGGTGATGAAGATAGGTTAGCTGTTCATCAAGCCCCAGGATCCACCTGTTTCGGCCTCCCGGGCACGAGCATCCTAAGCATGCAACACCAGGCCCAACTTGTTCTGTGGATGCTGGGGCTCAAGCTGAGTCCACATGCTAGTGCAGCAATCTTAAAAACTAAGTCCTTGCCCACTAATACAGTGTCAGAAATGGACTCTACTGCAATGAAAATAAGCTGGAAAAAGTGTCATTGGTTGATATAACACTGGTGGTGTGCAAAAGAATACAAACAAAATTATTTCTCTTAGATAAATATCAAAGTCAGATAAAAATAAACTATGTTTACTGGAAATACACTCTTATAGTCCGTAAAGCTATAAGGGAGAGTAAGAAAGCAAACACAATAAAAATGAAGACAGTATTCACACGCTAATGGGCCCGGGGCTGTGATGACGGGCTTCCAGACACTGGTCCTATTCCTTCTCTGCGTTTGGAATTGTTTTACAACATCCCAAATTATGTTGGATGTGGTTTTTAGTAATCTGTTATGTTTTACTGTATTAAAAGCCTTCCAAACAGAATGAAAGTTAAATATAGTTGAATGGATATAGAAATAGAACTTGTGCAGGTTTTAAGACTACTATTTAATGTAAAAGTCTAAAAAGTTAAACTCCATATTGTTTAAGAATGTAAACATAACTGGCAGTGGTGGTGCACACCTTTAATCCCAGCACTCAAGAGGCAGAGGCTACATAGTGAGTTCTAGGATAGCCAGGGCTACCCAGGGAAACCCTGTCTCAAAAAACCAAAGGGAAAAAGATTATAAGCATAATTAATGAAACTAAAGAAAATCAAAAACATTATTTCAGAGAAAATCAAGTAAACAGCGTCTACAGGGGATGAGGAGAAAGAGCAGAAGCCTATAATGGAGGGAGGAGAAGGGCAGCACAAGGTGTGACCAGAAGAACATGTGAGACCTTCTGGGCTATTCTGCTTTTTTTGTCTGGCTGTGTCAATACTGATATCTCACATCATAATAGTTTCTAAGTATTTTTTTTAACCTGGATCCTTGAAGCCAAATCACGAATTCCTTTAGTTCGAGCTTTTTCTACAAAAGCGATTAGCTCCATCATTTCTTCTGTTGTGTCAGGAACTCGTAGAGCATGGTCTTTGATTGCTTCAAACTCACTGCAAATACTGACAGAACACTCTGATTATGACTCTGATTATTCATGACAAGTAATTTGTAACATATTTAATAAACATGTGCTATGATTACTATAAAACGGAAACTCTATCCTAAAAGCAACTGGCTGATCATTAAGAGATCATATGATATTTAAACTTAGTTTGCCTGATGCCACCATATATCACATCAATAAAAATTAAGGTAACATTAATTTTGAAATTATGGCATACTTACTTATTTTTCTAGTGATCTCTTAAGCTCTCTCATGAGGGAGACAGGGAATGCCGCAGACCTTAGATCTGCCTCAGCTGCTGCAAAGGCTACTTTTGTCAGCTTGACACATGAGAGAGAAAACCTCAGCTAAAGACGGCTGCCAGCAGACTGGCCTGGGGGCACAATGATTGACTGATATAGGAAAGCCTAGCCCACTGTGGGCAGCACCACTCCTGAGCAGGCAGTCCTTGGGATACACCAAACTAAGTGGAACAAGCCATGGCGAACAAGCCATGTGCAGAAGCAAGCAGACTGTGTCCCTGTTGCTCTTTCACTTCCTGCCTCAAGGCTCCTGGCCTGAGTTCCTGTCCTGACTCCCCAAAGTTATGTTTGCCCTGGAGTTTATCACAGCGACGAGAAGCTCACTAGGCCAACTAGTTCTGTGAATTTAGGCCAAACTTCAAGATCCAGTTTCTCTATTTATAAAATGAAGCTACTTATCCTGCTGAACTGAATAACTCAAGGGTAAATGGAAAAGGTATAGCATAGCATAGCTCATGTTCCTGTGAAGTAAAACAGTATAACAAATAAAAAGATCCTTCGAAAAAAAAAACAAATAAAAAGATCTTAAACTCTATGATAGCCTATGTACAGAAGTATGAATCTAGGTACCCAGTGTCATTATTCAACAAAAGGTATGTTTTTTCAAGCTTACCTTCCTATGCCTTAAAATGTTTGTATTGATATACCACTAGAAATCAGGAAAGAGTACAGCTAGGCTGGAAAGTTTTTATTATCTGTGTATGTGTGTTTGTTTGTTTGTTTGTTTTGGTTTTTCAAGTCAGAGTTTCTCTGTGTAGCTTTGGCTGTCCAGGAACTCACCAGGTAGTCCAGGTTAGCCTTGAAATCACAGAGACCCACCTGCTTCTGCCCCCCAATTTCTGGCGTGAAAGGTGTGCACCACCACTGCCCTGCAATTTTTTGTATTTTGAAAGAGAGTAATTTTAGAGAAAATTTTTTGGCCCTGTTATTCTGAATACAGTGATTAATTCTACTTACGATTCGTTTTCTTTCCTATATTTTGAAGCTATGTCACTTAGCAATACGTTTGCAAAGGCTCTTGCTTTGTTGGTTAAGCCTGTCTTCAAGTCCTCACAGTCCAGACGAACCATAGGGTAATGAACCCATTGAGGCAAAAGCATTATTTCTGAAGCAAGACTGAAAAACTTTTCTATAAACTTAAGAAGAGTGTTAAAAAGGGTTAGAATTTTATAATTAGTGATTTTATAGTACTATATTATGATGAAATTCTTAATCATGTAATATATTATTTTTGCTAGGTGACTCATTCCATTTGTTACACAATTTTTTTTTTCACTTGGTGCTAAGACTAAACACAGGGTCTGAGGATGATTCTGGCCAAGTGCTCAACCACTGAACTAACACAGTCAGTGCCTAAATGTTCTTTTTATGGTGGAATTTGATTGACTGGTAAATACCAATTGTGCTGACTTGAATATTTCATAGGGTTTTTTCAATCAAAAAGTATGCCCAGAGTCAATTCCTTTCTGTTTAGGAGCAAACCTGTATTATGCTACAACATTTGTAGCTGCATATATTTGCTTTACCATTATTGGATAGCTCTCTGAATGTTCAATCTTTAGGAAAAGAATTATAAGAAATCTTTTATGCTAAAATAGGACAGAAATACTATGGTCTACCATTATCAAAGATCCAAGATTTTGGAATTTATATCAATTTCTTAATACTTAAAAACTGGGATGATTTTCAAAAATCACACAAAGTAGTATAAAATAAAACTTTGACAGCATACATTGTATTTCAAACTTTGAACAATCTTTGACTTAACGTCACAATCTACTTTTAATGCTCCTACCAGTCTTCTTCCTTGTTATCATACTACACCCACAGCCAGAAATCTTGTTTCTTTTATTCATTCGTGAAAAGATTTTCCTTCATTTTTATCTTAATGTTATCATATTCTTCTACAGTTTACAGTATTTAATAAATGGGGTTTAACCTTTTCATTGTCTGATGGACCAGAGGACATTAACTAATTTAATGATTATCTTGAATAATTGCTTTTTTGTTGGATGGAAACATAACAGAGAGAAAACAGTGTTGATGTTAATAGAGAACAATGGGTAGCAATGAATTTGACAATAAGAAGAGAGAAAAATCACAAAGTGATCACTATAGCATGTTTTGTACAAACTTGTCATGTGACAAAAATTAAACAATGCTAAGTTCATATCATACACAAATGATGGGGGACATGAAAAAGCCCTATATGACACAGACAGACTCTATGTAGTACACTTTAAATATGTTCAATTGTTAAAGAAAATAGAGGAAATATAAATATAACAAGGAAAAATGAAAGTCAACAAAGAAACTGTGGAACACAAAACCTGAAATGAAAATGTCACTTAACTTTTGCAGAGCAACACAGAAAACAAGTTACCATATAGCTATTATAAGGCCTTATCAGCAATTCATCAATGGATTAAATTCTACAACCAAAAGACAGCAACAGATAAGCTGGGGAGATGGCTCAATGGTTAAACTGCTTGCTGCCAAGAATGGAGACCTGAGCTCCATCCCTAGCAGTCATGTAAAATGTGGGTATAATAGTGTGTCCATAGGGTCTTTATTCTTATAGGAGCAGCATAAATCATATGAACCGACTACACAACAAATCTCAACAAAATGTGAAAACTTGGAATCATATATATATATATATTTTTTTTTTTTTTTTAGTTTTTCGAGACAGGGTTTCTCTGTAGCTTTGGCCATCTCCCCAGCTTATCTGTTATTTCGGGGCTAAGCAGCCGGGAACCAACAAGTGATCTTTTACTACACAAGACAAGATGTATTAATAATATAGTGTTGTGATCCAGCTGCCCTCACTTCCCCTGACTGACAGCAGAACTTCCTTGTGGTCTGTAATTGACAGGGATGTTTGTGTTCTTTCTGGCCAGTGGGTCTCCACAGAAGGAGTAGACGTATAAAAGGTTGCTGGGCAAACTAAAAGTTGCTGTTCTTCCACTCTTAGGCATATACCCAAAAGATGCACACTCATACCACAAGGACATGTGCTCAAATGTGTTCACAGCACATTAGTCATAATAGCCAGAACCCGGAAACAACCTAAATGCCCCTCAACTGAAGAATGGATATGGAAAATGTGGCACATTTACACAATGGAGTAATACTCAGAAGAAAAAAAAATGACAAAAGGAGGGTGGAAGTGGAGAAGGGGAGGAAGAACATAAGCAAAAGAGATATCATGATTGGGGGAGCCAGTATGGGACTAGTGAGAAACCTGGCAGTAGGGAAATCCTCAGGAATCTACAAGAATGACCCCAGCTAAGACTCTTAAGGGTACATGAACTGGCCTTCCCCTATAACCAGATTGATGACTACCTTAAATTTTCATCATGGAACCTTCAACCAGCAACTGATGGAAACAGATGCAGAAATTCACAGCTAAGTACTGGGCCAAGCTTCTGGAGATCAGTCCAAGAGAGAGAAGAGCAAAAATATGAGCAAAGGGGGTTATGACCATAATGGGGATATCCACAGAAACAGCTGACCTGAGCTAGTGAGAGCTCACTGACTCTGGATCGATAGTGGGGGAACCAGCATAAGACCAAACTAGGCCCACTGAATATGGGTGACAGTTGTGTGGGTAGGGCAGACTGTGAGGACACTGGCAGTGGGACCAGGATTTATCACTAGTGTTTGAACTGCCTTTTTGGAGCCCGCCCTCTTTGGAGGGATACTTTGCTCAGACTAGATATGGGGGACGGCCTCGTCCTGCCTCAAGTGATGTGACAGACTTTGTTGACTCCCCTTGGGAAACCTTAACCTCTCTGAGGAGTGAATGGGGGACTGGGGCGGGGAGAAGGTGAGGGGAGCGGGAGGAGTGGAGGGAGTGGGAACTGGAATAGGTATATAAAATGAGAATGATTGTTTTTAAAAAATAAATTTAATAATTAAATAAAGGAAACTTAAAAACTCATCTTCTTCTAAGCCACTGAGATAGCTCAGTGCATAAAGGCACGTGGTAGAGACAGAACTGACTCCTGCAGGTTGTTGTCTCACCTCCACACAAGTGCTATGATAGGTGTACGCACACATAGACACACACATGCACACACACACATACACATGCACACATACATATGCACATACACAAGCACGCATACATGCACACCCAAACACATGCACATATACATGCACACACATATGCATGCACACATACACGCACACACAAACACGTGAACACACATGCACATATACACACACATATGCACGCACACATACATGCACACACACACAGCTTTGCTCTATGTCTTCTGTCTCCATATAAACATCTGCTTCAAACCAGAGCTCAGCTGGTCCTGATATTGTGTTCCTGTAATCCTTGTATTTGAGAGGTGGGAGCAAAAGAATCATGCATTTAAGCAGGGCCACCTGGGCTACATAGTGAGTTCCAGATTAGCCTTTCAAGATAGTGCAACCCTGTCTACACCCACATCTGTGCTCGTTACACACACTTGAGTTAAGCTCACTTTTGTTCCATTTCTTGCATGAAACCTTCATCTTTAAAAACAATAGCAATTTTCTTCTGTGTTTACATAATACTTTGTTAATCTCTATTCTAATATTTATATCAACTTATCATAATTATTATTTCTTTTGTTTTTGGTACAGTGTTTCTCTGTGTAGACCTGACAGTCCTGGAACTCGCTCTGTAGACCAGGCTGATTTGAACTCAAAGATCCTCCTGCCTCTGCCTCCTGAGTGTTGAGATTAAAGTTATCATAATTGTTGTTTCTACATCAAGATTTCATTGACAATCTTAAGCTCCTGAAGAAAGTCTTTAGATATTGTTTATTTTTAATCTTACTGTAATACAAAAACTTTTTATAAGTGGGTGAGATGGCTTATCAAATCAAGGTGCCTGCCTTCAAGCCCAAGTGCCTGAGCTCCATCTCTGGTGATTACACAATAGAAAGAGAGAACCAACTCCTCTGACTCCCACATGCCATGGCACATGCACACATGCTCTCTCTAGAAATAAATAAGTAAATAAATCCCATCTTAAAATGTTTAACTAAAATTTTATTAACTCAACGGGTGACCTAATGAACAATTAACATAATTATGAGGCAAATCAATGGCCTTGAATAAGAAGTTCTATTTATATTATTTGAAGCATTATACCTAGAGCAAAGAGATCTTAATTAAAGAAAATTCAAAAAGTATTAAGAATAAATGGAATCATCTTTCTAAGTTAGCATGTCTATTCATATTATAATTATTCAGGTCCTGTTTTTGTAGCTATTTCTAGGAGACACAGTTTCACAGCACGGTATATGGTATTCCGGTCCTGACACTCTGGCAACTAATGTCTGAGAGAGGGAGAAATAGCCTCTTCAGGGTGAGACACATATTAGTTATCCAAGATAAAGTAGGTGGTCAGTCCTGAAACCATATACACACTAACCACAAAAAGGAGTCAGTGGGTTGTGTGTGTGTGTGTGTGTGTTTGAGGGGGGTGGGGACTGGAGGGAGGAAAAGGAAAGAGAGAATATGCAATTTTTTTATTGTTGTTACAAGGTTTCCTTTACCTTGTACATATGCCACACCTGGCTCAAAATCCATTTTTAAAAATAAGCACAGAACAAAATTAACAGTTGTCTGTAATGTCCGCAGCTGGTCAAGTGTGGAGAACAGCTGATAACAAGGTACCCAGCAACAATGGGTACATATATGACACATTTCCTGCACCCTAGGCTCAAGGACCATTGTTGACTGGGAAAGACTGTAGAGCTAGACCAGGACACCTGCTGTGAGGCTGTGTCTCCTAGAACCGACAGGGAAGCTATACCCAGGATACCACAACCATAAGGCTGCTGAAACAAGATCTGGAAAAGGATGACACCAACAGTCATGCTTGTGTGAAAAAGGAAAAATCTCAAGGTTTGGGGGCCCACACTCATAGACAAAGAATTACAAGAACCTAGGCACTGCTGAGTGAGGGTGCATTACTTTTCCCCCAAGGATGAAGCAAGCCCTTAACTGGTCATCCAATACCAGTGGTCAGCCCTGACATCATATAACAAACAATATTAAATGGACTCAGTAGGTTATATTTATATATTTAGGTATATATATATGTGTATTCATGTATGTTACACACATGTTACGTATATGTATTGCCTATATATATGAAAGAAAAAGAGAGCATGAATTTTAGAGGGTATGAAAGGTACATGGGAGGGGCTGGAGAAAGGAAAGGGAAGGGGGTAATAGTGTAATTATATTTTAATTAAAAATAAGAATAAAATGAAAAAACAGAATTACCACTTACCTCTGTGTACTCATCAAAAGTATGGTCTTCTGCCTGGAAAGTCTCTATCATAGTTGTTGCAGTCCCATCAAGGAGCCAGTTATATTTTTCAACTAAAAATCAACATTCCAATTAAAATATGAATAACATTTTAATATAGCAAAATGTTTCTGTATTATCATAGAACAGAGTAGCCTACTCAAGCATGATTTCAATAGGGTGTTGACAGATGTAGATTGCAACATTTAGAGAAATAAGAAGAGGAAAAGAATTTAGCAGCCACTACTTTGTATACTAACCTAAAATAGATAATAAAAATGCTTAAAGATTCAAGAGGCAAACCAAGTAAAATAGGTTTTGAAGCCAAAAAGACAAGTTTATTTAGTGCATTGCAAAGAGAGTAATAGGATTGTCTGCCCAAACAAGTGTATCTTCACATTTTTATGTACTACAATGGTCAAAACTTTGCAAATAATTTAGAGGAAAAGATGTCAGATAGCAGATAGTTTTAGGTAATACCCTGTCAAAGGGCAACTATCCATCCTGATATCAGAGACACTTTGCATTAAAGTTAAACCTCGGGCTTTACAAAACTGTTCTCTTATTTTTTAAAAAAAATATTTTTATTGATTCTTTGGTAATTTCACACTCATTTCTCAGTCCTTCCATGTCCACTCTCCCACCCTTGTGATTCCTCCCTCCAAAAACCCTAAAAATTAAAAATTTAAAAAAAGAGAAGAAAAATAAGTTCAATGTGTGTTATCTATATATGCACTGTAGCATGGCCAAAGTCACATGATTTCAGCCTTTTTGTAGCTTATTAATCCAGCATCTCCGATTTTCTTTTTCCCTGCTCCATTAATGTTCACCCCTCAAACCAGCCAATAAAGTGCAAATTTTTAGGTCTGATCCATGATTATCCATGATTCTGCTTATTTCTGGCTCTTTCATAACAGCACCAGAAAACCAGGTATCTGACTAAATCCTAGCTAAAAATAGAATGATAAAAATCCCCTTCAGATATACCATATGAATCATAATGTGCTTTTGCTCCTTCTAGGTTCTGATGCACTGCCATCTTCAGAGTATTGAGAGCCCACTGTAACACATGCTCTGGAAGTTCTGTGTCAAGATTCACAGGTGATGTCGTTCCTGACAGCCAAGACGGCACTGTTTGGACATTCTAACACAAACAAAAACAAAATTGGATGTCATGTATATGTAGCTGAACTCATCTATGACATTCTCTTTAAATTTCTGTGGTTGAAGAAAAGGTAACTCAATGAAAAGTATTAATAGTGAATAGTTTTTAATACAATATAAAAACAAATTGAAGCTGAGCATGGTGCACGTCTGAACCCCAAAAAGTTCTCTATGGAGGCTAAAGTAGGAGGATAAAGCGCTCTAGGACAGCCTGGGCTACAAAATGACACCATGTCTCAAAATGTAAAACCTCAGAGATAAAATCAAACCACCTTAAGTTTAGTTAGTTTTCTATCATTTAACAGGTATTTAGAAACTGAAAAGCTTCTGTAAAGCAAAGGACACGGTCAACAAGACAAAACGACAGCCTACAAAATAGGAAAAGATCTTCACCAACCCCACATCAGACAGAGGGCTGATCTCCAAAATATACAAAGAACTCAAGAAATTGGTCATCCAAAGAACAAATAACCCAATAAAAAAGTGGAGTACAGACCTAAACAGAGAACTCTCAAAGGAATCTAAAATGGCTGAAAGATACTTAAGGAAATGTTCAATATCCTTAGTCATCAGAGAAATGCAAATCAAAACAACTCTGAGATTCCATCTTACACCTGGTAAGAATGGCCAAGATCAAAAACACTGATAACAACTTATGCTGGAGAGGTTGTGGGGTAAAGGGAACACTCCTGCATTGCTGGTGGGAATACAAGCTGGTACAGCCCCTTTGGATATCAGTGTGGCAATTTCTCAGAAAATTAGGAAACAACTTTCCTCAAGATCCAGCCATACCACTTTTGGGTATATATTCAAAGGATGCTCAACTGTGCCACAAGGACATGTGCTCAACTATGTTCATAGCAGCTTTGTTTGTCATAGCCAGAACATGGAAACAACATAAATGCCCCTCGACCGAAGAATGGATAAAGAAAATGGGGTACATTTACACAATGGAGTACTACAGAGCAGAAAAAAAATGACATCTTGAAATTTACAGGCAAATGGATAGAAATAGATAGAAAATATAATTTTGAGTGAGGTAACCCAGACCCAGAAAGACAATTATCATATGTATTCACTCATAAGTAGTTTTTAGACATAAAGCAAAGAAAACCAGCCTACAAATCACAAGCCCAGAGAACCTAGACAACAAAGAGGACCCTAAAAGAGACATACATGGATCTAATCTCCATGAGAAGTAGAAAAAGATAAGATCTCCTGAGTAAATTGCGAGCATGGGGACCATGGGAGAGGGTAGAATGGGAGGGGAGCAGAGAAAAATGTAGAGCTCAATAAAATCAATAAAAAATAAACAAATATTAGTTTAGAACAATAAGAAAAGGTAAGAAGGAGGAAAACATCTCCAAATGACAGAGTTTTCAAAGAAAAAAATTATAACTTAAAATAGGTGGGAGGGAAATAAAACTATCATATTTTATGTTTATCCAGAGTGCAGTGAGATTCAATTCAAATATTCTGAAGCAGAATAGTATGAGGACGCATGGTGGTTAAGGATGAGGTAATACCTGCAGAGTTTCAGATATTCGTTCTATCAGGCCTAAAACGACATCTTCCAAATCTTGAAAGGTGGGATAAAATTCCATTTTATCTTCATCAAATGTCAATTCCATCTTAAATATTGGAAGCCTGTCTTGGTGTTTTGGATCAAAGAGTTTTACAAATTCTTCTACCGTTCTCCGTAAGAGATCCTTTAACTACATCATATCACAAATTAGAATTACTTCAGAAGGTATAAACTCAATCTTTACCTTAAATGAGTTGTGTATAATTACATGATCTCCATAAACTTGCTTACTCCTGAAGTCATAACCATCCTTAATAAATGTCTAAACAATAAATAGAACAATATATGGAAACCATTTTTAATAGAATATCAGCACTCTAAACATGGCAGTGTAGAATTTCTGCATTTGCTAGTTTGTCTGTCCCTGGCACATAAGACATTTCAAAGAACCAAACAATATGGTGGTACACAATCAATAAATGCTCAGAGACAGATATTGGGGTTCAACCTGAAGACCTGAAAAGCAAAGCAGCCAGCCACTAGCTCTTACCTCTCTACCTTAGTCTAAAATAGTGATCCTGCCTCCAGGAATCTCAGAATGAGATTGTGTCTGAAAGCTGTCTCCTCCCATTTTATAATCCTCTCTAGGTCTGGGATTAAAGGCATATACCACTGGGATTAAAGTAAATCATGCACAGCCCAGTTTCTATGACAACTAGTGTGGCTACTGGGATTAAAGGTGTGTGTCATTGCGGCCTGGTCTGCAAGGCTGGCCAGTGTGGCCGTTTTACTCTCTGAACTTCAGGCAAGCTTTATTTATTAAAATATAAATAAAATGTCACTGCAAATGGAGAAGACTGGGGATTAGAAGGTTTACACCTTACCCATGAAGGCAGGAGCAGACAATGGCCCTGATACTAAAGATACCTCCTATGGTCACAAGAGCCAATTTTTAAACAATCACAAATTTGAGGAGTTGTTAAAACTTTTAGAATCTTGAATCCCACATGTTGAAAGTATTTATGCTGCAGAAATCAGTAAGCAGAAGAACTCCGGGTACTTTTCCTCCTGGAGAAGTCAGGTTTCCTTCACGTGCTTGGTGACAGCAGAAGTAGAACCATGGTGACCGAGGAATGTGTACATTTCTAAGCATGAAAGTGCACTCTTACTTCAGATCAGCTCTTAGATATTTGGTCAAGAAGACATGCTCGGATCTGAACAATCTCCCAAACATGCTTCATATTTTCTTAGCAAATAATCATAGTCCTTAGGAGAGTGACAGCAAGAGGAAAGGAAACTGCATACGCTTGGTACCATGTTAGCTCCACTGCCAACTGAGTATTGCATTGCATATGGACGCATTGTACCCTCTTAAACAAACAAGGTCGAATTAATGCCTTTTGTAGCTCTTCACTGAAAAGGAATGTTTTCATTCAAAACATTTTCTAGAGTTTTTTCTAGAGTTCTATGTCTGGAGTAGTAAAAAGTTAAGGGAGCCATAAAACAAAATTGTGTAAGGTTGATGTTTTTATGTTTACCATCGAAAGATGATCAAAGGCATTCCAAAATCGACATTTCCTGAGAATCAGATGAAAAGTAGCCATCTTGGAATTTAATAAATATATTTACTGGGCTAGTCTTTTTGTTAACACACTGCAGGAAAACTAGAGTCAACTGGCTTACAGGCTTTCCACACGGGTCAGATGAACTCGCTGGTACACGCTGCCACGCACTAAGCACGGGTCAGGTGAACTCACTGGTATACGCTGCCATGCTCTAAGCACGGGTCAGGTGAACTCACTGGTATACGCTGCCATGCTCTAAGCACGGGTCAGGTGAACTCACTGGCACACGCTGCTATGCTTTCTCGCTTTGTTTTTACTTCACTATGAATGTGCTGAGTTGTCTTGGAAATAGGATTCTCGTGTATGGCAGATGAACACCATCACTGAGCTATATTACCAGTCCCTTCTCCCTTTAGGCTGCTTCTGAACATAGGGATTTTCTGATACATTTTTAATTAAATTATAATAAAATATTGTCTTTAATTTAAAAATGTATTTGGGAAATATGTATGTGAATATGTTGGGAGTCATTGCTTTCGTTTCAACTCGCTGAGGCAGGGCCTCTCCTGTTTCTCTTGTTGCATTGACTATGCCAGCTTCTGAGCTTGCGTCTCTACTGCAATTGCATCTCTACTCTACTGCTGTCTCTACTGCCCACTGTAGGGTTACAGACGCAGGCTGTTGCATCCAGCTGTTTACAAGGACCCAGAAATAGAACCTGGTTGTTGTATGGCCAGCTCTTTTACCCTCTAAGTCATTTCCCTGGCCTTATTTAACTTATTTTTAAAATTTTGTTTAGCACTGTACTTAAATTTTATTTAAAGTACTGGATCTAAGTGTTATCACTCAAAAGGTACACAATAGCACATATACCTGATTTGACACAATAGCACATATACCTGATTTGACATCAGTATGGAAACACAGTTGTAAAAGGAATCCGTTTTTTCAGGCTTAATGCCTTCTAGTGCCTCCTTCCTAGTAAAGAGATTTATAACCTTTGGGTACCATGTGTTCATTATTTTCTCTTCTGATTTTTTAGCTTGAATTGATAGATCATTTCTCAGAGTGTCACAATCAATTGGGCCTCTAGCTCTGTAGATGGACAAAGGAAAATAATTCAGACAAATGGCAGATTGGCCTTCTATACAATAGTTGAAACAGATAAGATAAAATTTTAAGTTCTAAAATATAAAGAAAGGTTTTAGAGATTTATAAATCAGCTTTAAAATTACACAATAAAATATTTCAGAAAATGAGTCATTCATCTTTTAAGTTTTAATCAATACATATAAAATTTTACCTAATTCCTGTTAAGTCCAGCAAAATTATATCTGCAAATGTTGTATAACCAAACTCCAACAAAATTTTCATAGTTGGATGAACGATGTGCAAATTAGATAATATTTGGTTTCTTGCCTGCACAAAGCTAGAATGCCACGGATTGGAATAATCCAGTCCCCTGGAAAAGCAAAACAACACATGAAACATGACTGAAACCATCTACCCTAAGCTTTGAGAAATTAATGTTAAAGTGAAAACACTGGGGACTGGAGGAAAGAATTGCAGTCAAGAATGGAAGCCTTCTGAGTTTGCACACAGTTTTGAAACTACAGTATCTTCAGAGGAGATCATTAGCGGCTGAAACAGACACCTGGCGCTAGCGCGTATGCCCAGTTAATGTCTACTTTGGCCTAGCTCAGCACATAAAATATAGAATTAAGAACAGTGTTAGGCTTATGGGAAAATTTATCTGGCATAATATATCAAAAATTACTCATGGCTAAGTTGAGTTTTGGTGTATTATTATTATTCCAAGTTTCATGTAGCTTAGGTTATCCTCAAACTCACTATGTAGCTGAGGCTGACTTTGAACTTCTGGTTCTCCTACCTCCATCCACAGAGTCCCAGGATTACGGGTGTGAGCCACCTTAAAATGCTTATCAGGTTACTATTTTTCATATTGGTTCTCCTACTATTGTAAGTAGAATTCGATGATTAATGTAAAGAATAACTGGAGATTTTTAAAAGAAAATACATTTGCCCTTCATGACTACAGACTTGAATATAAGATTAGCTCATTTTAAAATGTGGACAAAGCTAAACGATATGCTGCTTTTAAAAATAGTTTACTCACACAGGAGATTCCGGCAAAGGGCCTCCTTCATCTTCAAGCCATTTAATTTGAGGTTTCACAAGAACACTCTGTACTAAAATATGCATATGTGTTAACATTTTCTGAATATCTTTCCAGGATCTATTCTCTAAGACTAAGATTTTTTTTGTCTAAATCTCTAACTTGATACTGTAAGGTAGAATTTACTGTACATTAAAATTAATATAAGAAAAAATCCCTTTCTTTCATATAATCAAACTCTTAGCATCATTTTGGCCTTCCACTGGAGGTGAATTCAGATACAGGAACACTTTTATTAATGATAATTATTATTATTACTATTATTATTTAATTGAAATTTTACATACCAATCCCAGTTCCCACTCCCTCCCCTCCTCCAACTCCTTCCTCCTCCCCCCTTCCCCATATCCACTCCTCAGAGAGGGTAAGGCTTCCCATGGGAAGTCAACAAAGTCTAGCACATCTCTTTGAGACAGGACCAAGGCCCTCCCCACTATACTAGGGTGAGCAAGGTATCCCTCAAAAGAGCCAACATAGGAACCCTTTACTCCTCAGTTCTTTACATTGTGTCTATTCAGAGATCACTGGCATACACTTCAGAAATTCATTCTAAGACAGCTACAGGGACTGGGAAGAAAGGGAGTTAGGGAGATGTTGGCAAAATGTTAGAGAATTTCAGTTAGCTAGGAGGAATAGGTTAAAGAGATCTAGTGTACAATAATATGAAGATAGTGAAAAATGATACTCTGTTTATAGATACTTAACTACTTTCAATCATCTCCAGCACATGCATGGAGTAGTACACTTCAGCTGGTTCACCTTAGACGTTCACAATGCCTACATTACTTTGAAGCAAACTGTATATGATAAATAGATATAATTTTGTCAGTTAAAGAAAAAAGGCAGAGTCTAGCATGGTGGCTTGTATCTGTAACCACAGTACTCGAGAGACTGAGGCAAGAGGATTGCCATGAGCTTTGAGGCCAGCCTGGGCTGCAAAGTGATACTCTGTCTAAAAAGCAACAACAACAATATGCTAATAAAAATCACAAAGATTAAAATGCATTGATATTTTCTAACAATCATAAAAATAGGATATCTAAGACTATAGTGAAAAATAAAAAACCAAATAGCAATGAATAGTAGCTAATAAATACAAAAGTTATCCTTAAATTAAAATCTTTGATTGGCCTGCAGTCTCAGAATATAGCTATTGATAGAAATCATAGTGAAGAAATACAGGCATTTGAAATAGATAGTATTCAATATTTTGTCTTATTTTGCTTTTTTGAGACAAGATCTCATGTATCTCGGGCTGGTCTCAAACTCACTATGAGTTGAGGGTGGACCTGGAACTCTCATCCTCCCACATCCCCCTCAAGCGCTGGTGTTACATATGTATGCCAAACACGCTGCTTTGTTCCGCTTCTGATTCATGAGATAGGGGTAAAAGAAGTTTGGTCCATGTCAAACGTTACTTACCCAAATATCTCTTCATGCTTTTTTCAAAATCATTCGACACCTCCTTTACGAGACTTCCAAGCAGTTCTTCTCTCTTTTTCCCCTCCTTTAAGTGCTCAGGTATCAGCATCAACATGTGGTCCAGCCATTCTGGCTGAATAGGCACTATAGGACTACTCTCTACACACTGCTTCATAAAAATGTAGTTTAACTTGGGAACATTAAAAGAACAAGCCAAATGGGTCAGAACGATAAAGCATTTCCGTGTAGCTCCTAAATTCTATTTTCTAAGACAGTATTTTTTCAGAATGAAAAATATTCTAAGAGTCGTACACACATCTCCACCAGCACCAGCACCAGCAGCACCAGCACCACCTTCAGTTCCTCCACCAGCACCACCACCACCAGTACCCCCACCACCATCCCACCTCACACCATACTACACCACAGTATAAACAAATGTAATGGATTTTTTAAAAAATTAGATAAACTAAACCAAAACCGTGACTAATAAAAGGAGGTTGTTTCACAGTATTCTCAGTTCATAAGGAGAATTTCATATTCATATTTTTAGTCCTTTATCCCAAAAGAAAATCTTCATGGACTTAGAAAATTTACAGCCCCACCTGTAAATATGCTTTATAATTTCCTCTTATAAGTAACCAGCTCCAAAAAGTTCTGGATCCTTTACTATTAAATAAATTTTGTATGCTTGCATGTTTCTTCCTATCATTTCACAGTCCCGTGTTTCTACTCATGCTGTCTGCCCAAAATCTCTAGCACCTAGCACAAAGCTAGTATATAGTAACTCTCAGTAAGTACTTATTAAGCAAAAAATAAACATAATATTAGGATAATTAGTTATTACACTATTTTTACAAGAGAGATGTATTTTTTCTATAGTTGATATTTTGAATATTTTTCAATAGTTTGGATAAGAACTAAAATATTTATACAGATAATCGTATACAGATAATCCTCAAATAATGGGTGGCAGCACAAATACAACTCTTGCAAACCTCACTGTGGCCCACAACATGCTCGCCCCATTGGGCGTAGAACTATAAATCTGTCTACGGAGATCTTTCTTGGAGGAGGCTCGGTGGGCGGTCTTAGGAGAATACTTTGTAATAATTATTTTGAACATTTTCAGAACATTTTCAAAACAAGAAAACCCACTCACTCCTTTTTTTTTAATTTCACTGGTCATCTGTGAAAAATAAAAGACAAACAAGGAATAAGTTTAAAACATTTAAATCAAACAAAACCTTAAATATAACTGTTCTTTTAAAAATGTGTTCTATTGAGATTCACTTAAGAAATAAAACAGTAGAGTGTGTATTTAAGGAGAGAACTTACAGTTGGAGGGAAGTCTGGCTCTGGTAATGAAGGTATTCTTTTCTCCAGGGTTTTGTCTAGATTTTTTTTTGCTCCAGAAATTCTGAAATTTATGGTTAGAAAGATATATGATAAAATGTAAATTAACTACTAAAATACTTCAAGTTGAACATTTTAGATATCTATACTAATACTAAACAAACAAATTTCAAGAGATTTTTAGACTACATTTTCATTTCCTTTACTTTTTCTAAGGAGGCAGATACTGAGAGACCATCTCACCCAGGCTGACTTTGGAGTTCCTGTGTAGCTGGGGATGCTCTTCTATTTATGGCAATACTACTGCCTCCGTTTCTCAGTGTTGAAATTACAGGCATGAGCTATCATATCTGCCTCTGAAAGAACTTTTTTCTTTTCTTAATATTTGTATCTATTCTTCTCTCATACAATACATCTCCACCACAGCTCTGTCCGTGCATGAGTTTTCTTTTTTTTTTTTTTAAAGCATTTTATTTTTTTCTTAATTTATTTATTTATTTATTATGTATACAATATTCTGTCTGTGTGTATGCCTGCTGGCCAGAAGAGGGCACTAGACCCCATTACAGATGGTTGTGAGCCACCATGTGGTTGCTGGGAATTGAACTCAGGACCTTTGGAAGAGCAGGCAATGCTCTTAACCTCTGAGCCATCTCTCCAGCCCATGAGTTTTCTTTTTAAAATTTTTACTTTTGTTTATTCTTGAAATTACAATTTAATTACATTTGACCATTCCCTTTCCTTTGTCCAAACCCTTTGCTATACTCATCCCTACTCTCCTTCAAATCAATGTCCTCTCTTTTTACTAATTGTTATTACATACATATATAAATTTTCATTACTGAAGTCTCAACTGAAATTTTACTTATTTAGAAAGACCTTGAAACACTGTGACTTCATTAATCTCATAATGCTATTTTCACACATCTACAAGAAAATGGTTTTGACATAACTTTTTTAATGAGAAACAAGCCCTAATGATTATTACCAGTGATACTGTAAATTTTAAATTATTCAAAATACTGTAATACTAAAAATAAAATTGATGGAGGAAGGTCATTGGTTAAAAAATAAAGAAACTGCCTTGGCCCATTTTATTGGTTAGAACATAGGTGGGTGGAGTAAACAGAACAGAATGCTGGGAGGAAGAGGAAGTGAGCTCAGAGACGCCATGCTCCCCTCTCCCAGGCAGACGCAATAGCTCTGCTCTCTGGGGCACACGTGATGAAGCTCTGACCCAGGATGGATGTAGGCTAGAATCTTCCCAGTAAGCACACCTTGGGGTGCTACAAACATTATTAGAAAAGGGCTAGTCTAGGTGCGAGAGTTAGCCGAGAAGAGGCTAGATATAATGGGCCAAGCAGTGTTTAAAAGAATACAGTGTCCGTGTAATTATTTCGGGGCATAAGCTAGCAGGCGGCCGGGGTGCTGGGGACACAGCCCCGCCGCTACTATTGCAACATAAAATAACTTTCAATTTTAACTTACTGATAGTTTTAAAATGGATTCTAATACAGACTAAGCCATGTCTGTTAAAAAGCCAACATGTCAGAGAAAGCTTCCTCACTCCCTGTGTTAACACCTCTTGAAGGCTTCACAAAGCCCTCTGTCTTTCAGCTGACATGCCAAGGAGAACAAACTCACACACATGAGCCAGGGCCATATGGAGCAAGCACCAGAAATACTTAGGAGGCCAGAGCAATGGGAAACTTTGAGGCAGTATATTTTATCAAGCAGCAAATGAGAGATCTTACAGATGTGTAAGACCCTGTCTTGAAAAGCCAAAACAAAACACTGTCTTGTGTCCATACAGTTCTTTAAGTAGCACCCCTTCTGCCTGCTGTTTATTAAAATATTTCTAATAATTTCCTGCCATATTTCTATTTGGAACAGCTTCTCCCTCCCTCCTTCACTACCTCCCTCCTTTATTCCTTCCTTCCCTCCCTCCTCTCCTTTTCCTTTCTTCTTCTAGCCCTGGCTGATCTGGACCTTGATATATAAACAGACTGGTCTTGAAGCCACCTGCCTCTGGCCCTCAAGTGCTAGGATTAAAGGCATGCACCACCACACCTGGCTTACTTAGAACATTTTAATGGCATCCACTGTTCTAAAAATACATCTTGAATTCCTTGTTATGGCCTATAAAGCTCTGAACAAGCTGCTCCAATCTCCTCTTCAACTTCTACCAGTCTTCTCAAGGTCTATGGTACCTTCATGATATTGGCTATTGCCAACTGCTATGTACACTAAAAGCATTCATATTTCATGGCTTTTGGGCTTGCTATCCCCATCCCCTGATTGAGTTTCTCTTGTTTAAGTGGAAGGTTAGTTCCATTCTTTAGCTCTCTACTTAAATATTGCTCCCATGACTCTTTCCTGCGTGCTCGTGGGATAATCTTCCATATTTCTATTATATTATCTTATTACTTATTTTTATTCATACAGGGGCCCACTATATAACCCAGGCTGGCCTTGAACTCGCAATCCTCCTGCCTCAGCTTTCTCAGTACTAAGATTTCAGGTATGGTTTACCACATTCTTTCACTATCTTGTTTATTCAAAGTACCCATCATCCTAAGGCAGTGGTTCTCAACCTTCCTGCTGCGATCCTTTAATACAGTTCCTCATATTGTGGTGACCCCAACCACAAAATTATTTCTGTTGCTACCTCATAACTTTAATCTTTCTATTGTCATGAATAGTTATGTAAACATCTGTGTTTTCCAATGGTATTAGGCAATCCCTATAAGAATCGTTCGACCCTTGAGGGGGATGTGACAAGCTGACAACAACTGATCTTAAGGGTAATATAATGTGTTTTTCACGTGTTTACTGTCTTATTCTGCTGGCAAACAAACTTGTTAAATGCAGTCCTTTCTTATTGTTTTTTGTGATCTTCCTAGTAACGGGCACAGTGTACAAGTAATTAATGATGCCACATAAAGTGACATAAATCTGTAGAAAGGATTAAAGCAATGTGGAAGGGATTCAAACACTTTCTAGACATGGTAATCTATAAATTAAACCTTAATTGCAAAGCATATCTTTAATTATTTATTATGTATTTAAATAACATTTATTTTACATACCAACCAGTTTCCCCCTCTGATCCTCCTATCCCCTCCCCTTTCCTATCTACCTCCCTCCCCATCCATACCTTCTCCATCTCTATTCAGAAAGAGACAGGCCTCCCATGGGCTTATATAAAAAACAAAACATATCTTTAAATGACAAAAATATAGTATATCCATGGAACTGTGAGTAGTTCATGGCAATGAAAAACCATAACTCTGCTGAGTACTATCCTGAGGCGTCCCTTCTAAGTTCCTACAGTATCAAGGAGAATCTTCAGAATGGACCGGGCAAAAGGCTAGCGAGAGGGCTCAGTGCTTCAGAGCTCTTCTGCCCCTCCAGAGGACCAGTGTTTGGTTCCCAGCACCCATGCTGAGCACAACTGTCCTCCTACGGTCTCTGGGGGCTCTTGCATACACACACACACACAAAATGAAATATCGTGTAAAAGAATGAAGAGGGCAAAAGGTCTCTAACAGCATACACAATAATATTCTTCATAAATTTAGGTTTAAAAATGAGTAAGTAAAGGATAGGCTTATAAAAATATAAGTCTAGGGCTGGAGAGATGACTCAGAGGTTAAGAGCACCAGCTGCTCTTCCAGAGGTCCAGAGTTCAATTCCTAGCAACCACATGGTGGCTCACAACCATCTGTACTGAGATCTGGCGCCCTCCTCTGGTGTGTGGGCATACACGGAGGCAGAATGTTGTATACATAATAAATAAATAAATCTTTAAAAAATGTAAGTCTAAAGATGTTATAAGATTTCATGCCTGTTTAACTATAATGTGTAACTATCAAAATTTAAATGATTATTTTTGACAATATGACCATCAAACAATGTGGCAGTAAAATTTAAGTCAGCTGCAAAACTACTTTTAAAAGAAGTTAACCAAGAAGGGAAAGTCCTGATTCTTTTTCTGAAATCAGTAAAGTTATGACATAACAGCAGACACAGTAACAAGATACTTGACCCGCAGAATTAGACCACTCAGGACAAAACCTCACCTGTGTGAGCAAATTACTTTTCTGTTCCTTAGTTCACTCATTTAAAAATACAGATAAACCGGGCGGTGGTGGCGCACGCCTTTAATCCCAGCACTTGGGAGGCAGAGGCAGGCGGATCTCTGTGAGTTCGAGACCAGCCTGGTCTAGAAGAGCTAGTTCCAGGACAGGAACCAAAAACTACGGAGAAACCCTGTCTCAAAAATCCAAAAAATAAATAATAAATAAAAAATAAAAATACAGATAAATGAGCTGGATAAATGGCTCAGGACCCAGACTCAATTTCTAGCACCCACAGAGCAACTCATAACTCTAGCTCCAGGGGATCTGACCCCTCTTCTGACTTCCCTGGGCTCTAGCATATATGTGGTAAACATACATAAACTTAGGCACATACACATACATATAAAATAAATATTTTAAAAATAAGATTTAAAGACTATTTTACCAATAACATACACCTCATCAAGGGGCTGTGAGAAGCACAGGAAAGGCGATCTGGACTAGCAAGCACTTTACAAAATTGGCTATCATTATGACTGATTCTCAATTGCTTTTCTAAATAATTTGAATTTTCATCCTTATTTTATCCATGGACAACCTATATAGTTTTTAAAATTTTTTATGAGTCTATTACATTAATCATTAATTCCAAATAATAATTATTTACTAATATGCAACTTACACTAACTGGTTAATTTTCTTCTGCTGCTCCTTAGATCTTCTGTAATTTAGCAGCTCACTTTGTTTTGGTGTATTAACACCTATGTCTTTGGGGGGACGGACAATAGGGGGCAACTTCAAGTTCAAAGCCTCCTTTTCTGCTGTAATGGCATTTTTTTTTGGATCTGACATCTTGGCCTCCTAAGGATTAAAATACTCTATACCCTGAAAAGAAAAAGGTCATACAGACATAATTGCATGAGATCAAGCCTCAATATATTCAGTGTATCTTACACACCGATAGCATAAATGAAATTCCATACCTTCTCAGATTAACTTGCCAAGAATAGTAGTGGTTAAAGAATGACAGTTGAGATGAGTAGGCAGGGGTTCTAAACATAGCTCTACTGGTCACTTCCTATGAAGAAACGAAACCAGATATTTGTTCCTTACGATTAGAAACTAAGGAACTGAATTAAGTGTGCTCTGAATAGCCTTTCAACTCCGAAACCCAGGGTTTGTTGTTTCCCCTAGAGGCAAACCACAACAAAATCTAGTTGTTAAGAGAGAATGCCCCTCCCCCCAAGCTGGTATTTAATAGCATTAACACTTTTCAAAACATTACTGAACCAGTCTGGCTAACATCATAGAAAGTGATATTATGATTGACAAAAATAGTCATACTTAATGCAAAGCAAAAGTAAAACATATACACACATGTTAACTATGGTATCAACTACACTTTCTCGAAAGCCCCAAGGATTTGGAGATTTTTCTGCAGGCAACCAATTAACAGATCTCAGAGGTATAGGAGGAGAAATAAGGACTGGTACCTATTTAACCGTCTTATTCATCCTGTAGAGACAGACTTAGGAGATTTTCCCTCTGGTGGAAGGAACAGGCATAAGGAAGGTTGAAACCGCCAGCAAGTATCCAGTGGAGGGCGTAGACAATCCAGTAGAAACAATTTAGTCGCCAGGGAAACTGTCCTGGTTGCCCGGAAGGGCTGCAGGTTGTTGGGAGAGGCAGTTGCTGAACTAGGACAGATTTAAGATGAACGGTCACACAATTTTTCACTCAATTGAATGGAGGGCGAGTTGTTTTTCTTGTTGCTGCTGCTGCTGTTGAACTGCCTTCCCTTGCAAGGAGTCCAGGAAATGGGGTTTTCAAAGTGTAGAGACTGGCACGAGCAGATTTATGTAAATATTACAAGTGAGGAGTGCAGCCTACAAGTATTCTCATAGTGACTTTCTCTATCTATGTAGCTAATGCTCAATATAGTTTATCTTGTTTTTATATTTGCTATTTATTTACACAACACCTTCAAAAATCAAACAGGTTAAGGTGCAAACTTTGCAGCTATGCTTGAGGAAGGGATGTTGTGAAACTCCTGTGTACAGTCCAGCAAGACTTGTGGAGATTTTCTCAGTTAGCAAACCAAATAATGGGTTTCACGATGAGATGTCAATACATATTCATCTTTCACTTTTATGCAACCGCCTCCTGTTTTCTCCTCACACTGGCTCCTTTTCTTTACTCTTCCAATTTTATCACTATATATGTATTTAAATAAACATTCTGCACCTGAGAATACAGGAGATACAGGTCTATGCCTAGTTTATTACATTTGACATGACCTGTCACATTTAATACCTTGTCCTCCCACCAGCCACAGCCTGCTCTCTGGTGGGCCAGGGGTAGCATTTTATATTGGTAGTTTTCAAGCTCCAGGTAGGAGTGGGAACAGTGTGTGGACACTGCCAGTCTTTCTGGACCTTGAATTTTCCCCTAAGGACCTAGTTTTTGCATGGGTATATTTGCTTCAATAATTCTGTCAGGTTTGGTTTATTTCTCTTTGCATGGTTGGAGGGGGTCCTCCCTTGCCTGCTCAGGGGAGCTGTTTGGTACTTGTTATGTCCCAATCCTCAAAGTCCCCCCAAAACTAGCAAGGAGACCGAGTGCTATATCTAAAAGCAAAGAGCCTTTATTTTATGCAAGTTTGCAGATTCGTCTCTCCACACATCCAATGTACTGGAATAAACACAGAGCCCTGAGCTCAACACCTCTTCATAACGGAAAAACTAGAGATACAAGGGACATACCTCAACATAATAAAGCAAATTAAAGCAAGCTCATAGTTAACATAATCCTGAATGAAGAGAAACCTCTACTGATGCGCATTTATGATGCTAAAAGGTATACCACACGCTACTGGAAGAGAAAGGTAGTCATCAATATCACCCAGATACAAACTCTGTGGCCTATAACAATGACCTGCCCACAATATACTGCTGCAATAGTGGCACGAACAATACAGGAATAGCCAATGACTTTTAATTGGATGAAAGGCCCACTCCATGCGATGAAAACCACACATGACACTGTAAAGTGACCAAGAACCTGATACAGGAGAGGTCATAGGCTTAGGGGAAAGCCTACTACTACTACTCTGCTAAAGGAACATGGCAATAAAAAGACTCCTAATGACATATCTCTATACCCATAGATCAGTGCATCACTCGGTGCTCATCGGAGAAGCCATTTCTTTCAGCAGATGAGAATTAGACAGAGACTCACAACTAGAAAATGGGGAGGTTATTAGAAACAAACTGAAATTAGACCAAAAAAAAAAGATGTGCAAAAAATGACTTTGAAGCATTCAGCCCCAAATAGATGTCTTTGTTGTCCTCTTTTTTTAAATTAACTTATTTTTTAATACCATCTTTTCTCATTCCACACAGCCATCCTTGTTACCGTTCCCTCCCTCTCCTGCCTCATCATTCCCTCTGTCCATTCCCCAGAAAGTGCTAGGCTCGCCCTGGTGAGTCAATAAAGCCTAACTTCAAGGCAGGACCAAGGCCCTCCCCCCATATCTAGGCTTAACAAGGTATTCCTCCAAAGAGAATGTGCTCCTAGATGCCAGATCAAGCACTAGGGATAAGTCCTGGTCCCACTGCCAGTGGTCCCACAGACTGCCCAAACCTCACAACTGTGGGCCAAGCTTGGTCCCATGCAGGTTCCCTGATATCAGTCCAGAGTCAGAGAGATCTCTTTACCTCAGGTCAGCTGTTTCTGTTGGTATCACCATCATGGTCTCTATGTCCCTGCTCATATCATTGCTCCTCCCTTTCCTGGACTGGCCCCTGGATGCTCGGCCAAGTGTTCCGCTATAAATCTCTGCATCTGCTTCCATCAGTTGCTGGATGAAGGTTCTATGATGACAATTAAGGTAGTCATCAATCTGATTACAGGGGAAGGCCAGGTGAAGCGTTTTCTCTGCCATTGCTTAGAGTCTTAGCTGGGGTCATCCTTGTAGGTTCCTGGGAATTTCCCTAGCGCCATGTTTCTCTCTGGCCCCTTAATAGCTCCCTCAATCAAGGGATCTCTTTCTTTTCTCCCCCTCTGTCCAAGCCCCTTCTGGAGCATTCAGTTCCCTCATGCTCTCCTCCTCCCATCCCTTCTCCCCTCTCTTTCCCCGCCCCCAACTCCCAGGAGTTCTTGTCTGTTTCCCCTTCCCAGGGGGGATTCATGTATGTCTCTCTTTGGGTTCTTGTTTCCTAGCTTCTCTGGGATCACGGATTATAGGCTGGTTATCCTTTGCTTTATGACTAATATCTACAGGGTCTGATGCCTCTTCTGGCCTTCTTGGCCACCAGGCACAAACATGGCATACATACATAAACAAATCTTCATAAAAAGAAAAACTACACTCTAGTAATATTTTCTGGAAAAGATTGTCTTTTGCCACTGATGTGCATTGGCATCTTTATTTAAAAAAAAAACCCACTTGAGTAGCCACAGATGGTGGTATACATGTCTATAGCTTCAGCTACTGAGGAGGCTGAAGCTGGAACTTCAGGGAGTTCCAGGCCAGATTGGACAACATAGTGAGACCCTATCTCAAACAAAACAAAAACCAAACAAAAATAACAAAACCATCTCGACTATAATGTAACCATAGGGTTTTCTTTCTGAACTCTCAGTCTGTTTCATTGATCTGAATGCCTACCTGTACACTATGCAACATTGTCTTGATCACTGTAATTTATTAAAACAATTACAGTCTTAAAATCAGGTAGTTTTCGTCTTCTTTGATCTTTTATAAAAAAAACACTATTTTTCACTATTGTAGGTTCTTTGTATTTCCATTGTTTAGATTGTACATAAATGTCTTTTTCTTTCAGATAAGATCTCACCATTATTATAGCTTTGACTTCAGTTTGCACATTGTAAATTTCTGTAAAAAAGTAAAAAAAAATTATTTAACTTTTCCATTACATCTATCAAATCTCTTTTATTCACCATTACTGTGTTGGGGGTTACATCTGTGACATCTAGCAATATGCTTTTTATAATTGGGTGCACCCATGCTTGATGTATATAATTTTGAATTGTTATACCCTCTTGTCAGATTGTTCCCATATCAGTATGAAGTTACCTTCCTTAATTTCTCTGCCTACTTTTACTGTAAAATCTCTTTTGTCAGACTTTAGAACAATGACACGCGCTTGTTTTCTAGTGCCATTTGTTTGGAAAAACTTGTTCCATCTTTTCACCCTAAGATAGCCACTGTCTTTGAAGTGTATTTCTTGCAGAATACCCCCTGATCCCAAATCAACCAGATAGATCCTGCTTTTTAACCTTATCTGCTAGTCTGTATTTTCCAACCAGGAAACTGAGACTAACTATATTCATAGCTGTTATTGCACAGTGAGCACTAATTCTTCTCAATTGTTTTCCTGCTCCTAATTTGCTTATCCCATTCCAGTGAGTTGTTTTCTGAAGTCTTGTGGGTGTGTATCTTTCTCTTCTTCTAAAGGATTCAAGGGGCCGGGCGACGGTGGCGCACGCCTTTAATCCCAGCACTTGGGAGGCAGAGGCAGGCGGATCTGGTCTACAGAGCTAGTTTCAGGACAGGCTCCAAAGCCACAGAGAAACCCTGTCTCGAAAAACCAAAATAAATAAATAAATAAATAAATAAATAAATAAATAAATAAATAAAATAAAGGATTCAAGCATCTTCTGTAGATACTGTAAATTGTCTTAGTGGTCATGAATTCCTTCAGCCTATTTTTTTTTTATTACAGAAGGGTTTACTTTCTCCTTCAGTTATGACATAGCTTTCCCTTTGGTGGCTATAGAACTCTAGGTGGCAGTGTCTTTTAGATTTCTTGGTGTTTAAAGTTTCTGTTGAGAAATTAGCTATTATTCTGATGGGCCTTCCTTTATTCATGACTCATTCGACAGTTTTTTTATATTTGGGATTTTAACTAGATGATGAAGGGAGCTTCTTAGCTGCTCATAACTGTTCTAAATGTCTTCTACATATCCTTTCCCTTGATTTGGAAAATTTTCTATGATCTTATTGAAATGTTTTGTACCTTTAACATAATATTCTTTTTTCATGCCCATATTTCATAGACTTGATTTTTTAATAGATCTCAAGAGCTTTGTTCATATGTGTACGTGTGTGAATATTCCTCTCCTTGTCTTCAAGTCCTGATATGGTCCTTCCCATGACCCATTTCACTGGTAACACGGTCTGCAGAGGCTTTTGTTTTACTTATTGAATTTTTTATTTCCAGTATTTTAGTTTGGTTTCTTCAGTATTTCCATCTCTTTGTTAAATTCTATCTTTATAACATACATTTCCTTATTTAATTCAGTTATTTGTGTTTTCCTGGAATTCATTTCATAAATGAGTGTCCTCTTTAATTTCTATGAGCATACTTAGAATCATTCTTTTGAGTTCGTTTGCAATTGGAAGCCATTACTCAAGGGTTAGTAATCTGTGAAGCAGTTATGTTGCTTGAACTTTCATGTTTCTCGTGTTTTTGTCCTTTGAGTTGTGTATCTGGGGGTATCTGCTTTAATTTACATTTT